TATCTCATCATATATGCACTAGTCCATATCGACCCCAAGCGAATGGCCAAAATGAGCGATTCAACGGGACGTTGATTTCACTGCTGAGGAGGTTATCCCAAGAGAAACCGGAGAAGTGGGACGAATACGTGGCTGCAGCACTATTCGCTTATCGCGAAGTCCCTAATGCTTCCACCATCTTTCCGCCAGCAACTTTGGTTTTTGGGAGGCCCATATCGGGACCTTTTGCCATACTCAGAAAAACGTGGACGGACGAAAATGAAGATGAGACCTTGAGGACCACGTCACAGTACGTGCAAGAACTCAAGGAAAAACTGAAGCTAGGTTGGGACCTAGCTAATAAGAATTTGAATCGTGCTCGTCAACGTTACGCAGCACACTTCAACAAAAAGACAAAGGAACGTAGTCTTGATGTTGGAGATAAAGTTCTGTTACTTTTGCCAACGGGGAGATCCAAGATTGATTTAGCTTGGGCAGGCCCTTATTCCGTGTTGGAAAAAGTGTCCAGAATGCACTACAAGATAAGTGTGAAGGGTAAGTCGAAGGTTTACCGTATTAATCTTCTCAGAAAGTATAATGAGAGAGAGAGGTAAATGGACCTGAGACTCTGTTAACACTGTCTGTAGCAATGGAGGTGGACGGAGGAGAAACCACTGCGGTAGAATATCCTCTCCATCCCGGAGAAACATACAAGGATGTAGAGATTAACCCTGATCTCTCCTTGTCCCAAACTGAACGGCTCGCACGTCTCTTATCGGATTATACTTCCGTGTTCACAGAGAAGCCAGGGCGTACTTCGTTGATCGAATACGATTTGAAGTTGGTGAGTGAAGAACCCATTCGCCAGCGCCCGTATCAAATCCCCTTTTCTAAGCAGGAATCTGTTAGAAAGGAGATTGAATATTTGCTAAAAGAAGGTGTGATTTCCCCCTCAGAATCCCCCTTCAGTGCGAACGTTGTTTTGTTTAGGAAGCCTTCGGGGGAGCACCGATTGTGCATAGATTATAGGCAGTTGAACAGGGTCACGGAGTTTCTTCCTGAACCCCTTCCTGACCAAAGTCTTTTGTTTGCCCGGCTCAACAAAGCCAAGTACTTTTCGAAGATTGACTTGAGCAAGGGGTATTACCAGATACCGGTTAAGGAAGAAGTTCGTAAATATCTGGCCTCTAGCACTTCGGATTCCCATTATCACTTTAATGTCCTTCCGTTCAGAACCTGCAATGCTTGCGGGGTATTCACCAAAATGATGCGGTTACTTTTAGATCCTCTAAAAGATCCCACTATCATCAATTTTATGGATGACATTTTGGTGGCTTCCGAAACGTTTGAAGCACATATTCAGTCCTTGCAGAAACTGCTGCATCGATTGAAAGAAACAGGCCTGACAGCCCGACCCACTAAGTGTAAACTGGCCTGGCCCAATCTCGAGTTCTTGGGACACACTGTGTCCGAAGGTACGATCAGACCTGAGTCCAAGAATGTCGAGAAACTCCGGAACGCGGTTAGACCACGTACTAAAAAGGAGGTCCGTTCATTCGTATCTTTGTGCGGATACTATCAGAAATTTATTCCAAATTTCAACTCCATAGCTGCTCCCTTAACGGATGCGCTTAAGAAGGACCATCCTGAAAAGGTATGTTGAACTCCTGAATGCGAAGATGCCTACAACATGTTGAAAGAGAAATTGACGTCTTCTCCCGTGTTGCAGTTACCCGATCTGTCGAAACCCTTTGTGTTGAGGACAGACGCGAGTGGCATCGGAATTGGGGCTGCACTTCTCCAATCTGGGATTCAGGACCCGGAGATTTTGTTTCCCGTCGCCTACGCCAGTCGGAAACTTAACGTGGCCGAACGCGGTTACTCATGTATAGAACGGGAATGTCTAGCGTTGATTTGGGCGGTCCAAAAATTTCAGCCATATTTGTATGGTGTGAAATTCTCTGTGCAGACGGACCATCAACCTTTGGTGTTCCTGGCTTCATCTGCCCACCTGAACCCAAGGTTGATGAGATGGTCGTTGCTGCTGCAACCTTATTCTTTCACAGTGGAATATATTCCCGGTGGACAGAATGTGGGAGCAGACTTTTTGAGTCGCCACCCTTCGTCTGCTGACGTGCTGACTGAGGATGGGGACAATGTTGTGGAACCTGAACCTGGTGACGGTTAGATGTATGATGCTGTCGTTCGATTCGCGTGAACGCTCATCTCCTTTGGGGGAGCTCTGTCGCATGACAGCATCCACACATCTGCCGCAGTAGGAAGGTCCACAGGCTGAACACCCCCAAACTCGTCATCGTAACTATGAATTAGTATAGGCCAAGCATAGTTATATAGTTCGTTTGTTGTGGGGGAGTCCTGATAGGAAAAATCTCTATACATCCCTATGATATTGACTCTTTTAAGCTTTTAGTGTCGAATTACACATTAGGACACATTTTCTACGCCTATTCTAAATAAATTGTCAGACCACTGCACTGCATTAGTGAGTGGGATTCGTACGCTAACTGCTGTAGTTAGGGGACGTGTTTGTGTGCGTCACTTCTCTATGGTCCGGTCTTGGAGGCGGTCGCTGTCCTTGTGTCTCGCCAATTGACCGTTAAAAATACAAGATTCTTTATTCTCTTTTCATTTATCATGGGATTTCTGAAGATCCAACAAGTGTCTGTATATGGTAGTGTGATTCCAACTGCTACCACCCAATAAGCAATTTACGTGAGGTGAATTGCCGATGTCGAGTTGATTATCCTTGATCAACGCCGGAAGCTGATTCGTTCCTGTGAAGTCGTGTTGAGAAACACGGCAGTGTGAAACTCTATTTCGGCGTCTTGAGAGGCTGCTTCATTCCTGTACAGTCGTGCGGTGAAGTACGGCAGTGAGAAATTCCTTTCTGGCATCCTGAGAAGCTGCTTCATTCCTGTGAAGTCGTGCAGTAAAGTACGGTGGTGTGTAACTCCATTCTGGCACCCTGAGGAGCTACGAGATCCAATCAGATAAGTTGAAGTGACTGACATAAGATAGCTCGACTCCAAATGGGCCTTCGTAATCAAATCTTCTCCTCCGCCGTGATGATCCAGAAACTCTATGTGTCTATGTAGAAAAACTCTTTCTCTTGTGTTAGATTTTCAATGATTTGACCTTTCCTTTTGAATTCATCACACTACTTTTCGTCAATTTTGTTATGGTGAAGTTAATACATTAATGTTATCGTTCATCAGTCTTCTGGTTAGTAGAAAAGTTTCGTTTTATTGAAATTCATTGTCTTATTCAGAAAGGCAGTGTTGTCTTGTCAAATTCACTGTTGATTACTTGTTGACTGGGTTTACATTATCCTAGTCTGGGGGCATATAAGTGGTGGGGACGTCTGGCCGAGAGGTACCCAAGTGTTCATAATAACCCTGTGGAGTCAGAGCTCGTGTCACCTCATCCCTGAGACAGGTTGAATGGAAAGTTTGAACCGAGGGTTAGGCCTCTAGACAAACGAGAGCCACCATTCAAAACACTCTTGTCTCAGAGCACCTGAGGGATTTGTGATAATATTCCGTTAGTAAAGGTGCGCGACAAAACTGCCATACGACAGTCAGTTAATAGCCCAAAACTCGACAACAATCAGAATTTGGACTGTCGTGTTCTGATGAAACCTGGAGCACAATTAAAAGAGATGAAGCCGTATTACAAATTTTCGAAAACAGAGTTTTACGACGAATCTTTGGACCCATCAAAAATGTAAACAGTGGGGAATGAAGAGTGAAAAGCAACAACGAAATTCTTAATCTTTTCAAATATTCAGTGATCACTGGTATCATGACGGCTAATAGACTGTAGTGGCTGGGACATAATATGAGAATGTCAGATGACAGAGAGTTAAAAACTTTATACACAAGGGATATGAATGGTAATAGACCATGAGACAGACCAAGACGAACATATAGAGAAAATGTTCAGACAACCCTGCAAACACTTGGTGTCATTAGCAGGAAAGAGAAGACCAAACAGAGAGAGAAGTGGACGTGTGTGATATCTGCAGCAATGACCCTCACGGGTTCAGAACGCTGTAAAAGAAGAAGAAGAAGAAGAAAAAGAAGAAGAAGAAGAAGAAGAAGAAGAAGAAGAAGAAGAAGAAGAAGAAGAAGAAGAAGAAGAAGAAGAAGAAGAAGAAGAAGAAGAAGAAGAAGAAGAAGAAGAAGAAGTAGAAGAAGAAGAAGAAGAAGAAGAAGAAAAAGAAGAAGAAGAAGAAGAAGAAGAAGAAGAAGAAGAAGAAGAAGAAGAAGAAGAAGAAGAAGAAGAAGAAGAAGAAGAAGAAGAAAATTGTTCTGATGGCACAAATAAATATCTTTATGAGGTAACATATTTCAAGACATCCTTATTACACTTTTCATCCGTCAGTGGAGCTCCACGATGTAAAGCTAGGTAAATCTGTATTTTTCTGCATACATCTTCTAAACATTGGATTTTCTAACTGGGAATGTTGCAGCACATTTATTCACAGCCAGGTGTGGTAGATCGTTAGGGGTGCCCTAGTTATAACCTCTTGCAAAGTTGAAGGGGATACGTGGGATTCGCCTTGTTGATGTGCCTTCCGGATTGGGATCTTGTAATTTCAGAGTGTCAAACCTTTATGCAGAGGCCCGGGAAGGGCGAGGTGGAAAAATTAGTCAGTCTTTTGCAGATGTGGAGTCGCCTCCCACTAGCGGCAAGACTCTCGCCTGCGGATCGGAAGGTCGTGGGTTAGCGTCCTGACGGAGCAGGGCAGTTTTCACAAATGACCTTGGCTTCCAGGTTGACCAATAAATGCAGTCCTAGGAAAATTCGGCGCCCGTGATGTTGCCCACATAACTCATCGAGTGCCGATTGGTCTAAAAATTATAGGTCTAGCCTTATATGCCCAATAGGCATACAGGCGTGAAAAAGAGGCATTTACTTTTGTATTTTTCCTTCACTTATGCAGATGTGATTTACTTTGACAGCTGGACTGAAATTATTAGCCAACGAGACAAGACAAGATGTCTGCCATCACGTCTGTGTTGTTGTTACTTCTGCTAATTTCCGGTTTGGCTGTTGCCATGGAGCCAGGGGTCAGGCTTGCGGTCACCAACAAAGGGCTGGTTTATGGTAAGATTACATTATTCTATTTCTGTTGTTAGTATCTCATTTGTGCCGCTAGGCGTCACAGTTTAACAAATAATCAGTAGGCGAGCCAGGGCGCGCTCGGTTGCTTGGTATAATCAATATGCTTATACAAATAACAATGCTATATTATTATCATCACAGATAAACACCATTTGCATCACCATCATATGTTATATGGACAAAAAACCAAAATAGCTTCACCGATTAGAGTGCACTTTTTCATGCGATTACCAGAATCACCGATTAGAGTGCGCTTTTTCATGCGATTACCAGAATCACCGATTAGAGTGCGCTATTTCATGCGATTACCAGAATCACAGATTAGAGTGCGCTATTTCATGCGATTACCAGAATCACCGATTAGAGTGCGCTATTTCATGCGATTACCAGAATCACAGATTAGAGTGCACTTTTTCATGCGATTACCAGAATCACAGATTAGAGTGCGCTATTTCATGCGATTACCAGAATCACCGATTAGAGTGCGCTATTTCATGCGATTACCAGAATCACCGATTAGAGTGCGCTATTTCATGCGATTACCAGAATCACCGATTAGAGTGCGCTATTTCATGCGATTACCAGAATCACCGATTAGAGTGCGCTATTTCATGCGATTACCAGAATCACCGATTAATGATCACATGTCTTCCTTTAACGTCATTTGTATCTTGAACATTTCAAAATATTTCGGCCTATTTAAACGTCATGGTGGCCTGGAGGTGGCCTGTGGGGGGGGGGGGGGGGGAAGACCACGGATTGGAAGGTACAGTTTCAGGAGAGCGAGGCAGAGGCGGACATCCGCAAACGTGGATAAAAACATCTAATATGCACTTGCTATAAAAGCACATAGGGTTGGTGAACTGGCTTGAGAAAGAAAGACTTTTAGGCGTGACTTGACGAGGGGGACGTTCTGTAAGGAACCTGCTAATCGATGGTAATTCATAAAGTTCTTCAAGAAATAGATGACGCATATAATCTGGTTATTGATGTCAAACTTTCCCCAGGAGTATCCGTGGCGAAGTGGTCAAGCCTTTTGCCTCGCTCCCTGATGGTCGTGAGTTCGTTTAACGGATGCAACCATCAGTTTACGGGTGTAATTCGTACGGAGATTCCTGGTGATCGACCCCGGAGCTGTGGATTTCGTGCTCTGTGCGATGCTTTCGGCAGGCGGCCTTCCGTGCCATATACGATAAAACCCGGTGCAATGATGTCGATCCTCCTTAACTTTAACTATTAAACTGTGCCATTCAATGTATCTTTGTGCATGTTCTGAGAAGAAAGAACTTAAAAACGTCACAACAACTAGAAAACAAAATTCATAGGGAAAGAGTTTTGGGAAGACAAGAAGATAAATACCTGGATATCCATGGAAAAACCCAGCTCAAAGTTGGCAAGGGTGACATCTGATTCCAGTTCGTTTTTGATCACACATTTTCTTCCTACGTGGACACATCACAGGCGCAGACAATTGACTATGGAGAGTGAAAAGTAACAACGGCATAATTTATTATTAGTTTAAATCGTTGCTAATTAATAGCATCGCGATGGATAATATGCTGCGATTCTTTGGTTTACACAGAGAGTATGGCAGATAACAAAGAGTGTGGCAGATAACAAAGAGTGTGGCAGATAACAGAGAGTATGGCAGATAACAGAGAGTATGGCAGATAACAGAGAGTGTGGCAGATAACAGAGAGTATGGCAGATAACAGAGAGTATGGCAGATAACAGAGAGTATGTCAGGTAACAGAGAGTATGTCACATAACAGAGAGTATGGAAGACAACAGAGAGTATGTCAGATAACAGAGAGTATGGAAGACAACAGAGAGTATGGCAGATAACAGAGAGTATGGCAGATAACAGAGAGTATGTCAGATAACAGAGAGTATGTCAGATAACAGAGAGTATGTCAGGTAACAGAGAGTATGTCAGATAACAGAGAGTATGGCAGATAACAGAGAGTATGTCAGGTAACAGAGAGTATGTCAGATAACAGAGAATATGGCAGGTAACAGAGAGTATGGCAGGTAACAGAGAATATGTCAGGTAACAGAGAGTGTCGCAGATAACAGAGAGTATGGCAGATAACAGAGAGTATGGCAGATAAAAGAGAGTGAGGCAGGTAACAGAGAGTGTCGCAGATAACAGAGTGTATAGCAGGTAACAGAGAGTATGGCAGATAAAAGAGAGTGAGGCAGCTAACAGAGAGTGTCGCAGATAACAGAGTGTATAGCAGGTAACAGAGAGTATGGCAGATAAAAGAGAGTGAGGCAGGTAACAGAGAGTATGGCAGGTAACAGAGAGTATGTCAGATAACAGAGAGTATGGCAGATAACAGAGAGTATGTCAGGTAACAGAGAGTATGTCAGATAACAGAGAGTATGTCAGGTAACAGAGAGTGTCGCAGATAACAGAGTGTATGTCAGGTAACAGAGAGTATGGCAGATAACAGAGAATATGTCAGGTAACAGAGAGTGTCGCAGATAACAGAGTGTATGTCAGGTAACAGAGAGTATGTCAGATAACAGAGAGTATGTCAGATAACAGAGAGTATGTCAGATAACAGAGAGTATGTCAGGTAACAGAGAGTATGACAGATAACAGAGAGTATGTCAGATAACAGAGAGTATGGCAAATAACAGAGAATATGTCAGGTAACAGAGAGTATGGCAGATAACAGAGAGTATGTCAGATAACAGAGAGTATGTCAGATAACAGAGAGTATGTCGGATAACAGAGAGTATGACAGATAACAGAGTGTATGGCAGATAACAGAGTGTATGGCAGATAACAGAGAGTATGTCAGGTAACAGAGAGTATGGCAGATAACAGAGAGTATGGCAGATAACAGAGAGTATGACAGGTAACAGAGAGTATGTCAGGTAACAGAGAGTATGTCAGATAACAGAGAGTATGTCAGATAACAGAGAATATGTCAGGTAACAGAGAGTATGACAGATAGCAGAGAGTATGGCAGATAACAGAGAGTATGACAGGTAACAGAGAGTATGGCAGATAACAGAGAGTATGTCAGGTAACAGAGAGTATGTCAGATAACAGAGAGTATGTCAGATAACAGAGAGTATGGCAGATAACAGAGAATATGTCAGGTAACAGAGAGTATGGCAGATAACAGAGAGTATGTCAGGTAACAGAGAGTATGACAGATAACAGAGAGTATGTCAGATAACAGAGAGTATGTCAGATAACAGAGAGTATGTCAGGTAACAGAGAGTATGACAGATAACAGAGTTATGGCAGATAACAGAGTGTATGGCAGATAACAGAGAGTATGTCAGGTAACAGAGAGTATGACAGATAACAGAGTGTATGGCAGATAACAGAGAGTATGTCAGATAACAGAGAGTATGTCAGGTAACAGAGAGTATGACAGATAACAGAGAGTATGGCAGATAACAGAGAGTATGACAGGTAACAGAGAGTATGACAGGTAACAGAGAGTATGTCAGGTAACAGAGAGTATGTCAGATAACAGAGAGTATGACAGATAACAGAGAGTATGTCAGATAACAGAGAGTATTCAGATAACAGAGAGTATGGCAGATAACAGAGAGTATGTCAGATAACAGAGAGTATGTCAGATAACAGAGAGTATGTCAGGTAGCAGAGAGTATGGCAGACAACAGAGAGTGAGGCAGATAACAGAGATTATGGCAGATAACAGAGAATGGCAGATAACAGAGTGTATGGCAGATAACAGAGTATGGCAGATAACAGATAGTGTGGCAGATAACAGAGAGTATGGCAGATAACAGAGAGTGAGGCAGGTAACAGAGAGTGTGGCAGGTAACAGAGAGTTTGGCAGATAACAGAGAGTATGGCAGATAACAGAGAGTATAGCAGATAACAAAGAATGGGAGACACTACGAGACAGACCAAATAGATGATGAAGATATAATTTACATGCAAACATACAAACACTTGGAGTCACTAAATGGAAAGAGATGACTAGAGGCGGGTGTAATCTGCAGCAATACACCGCAGGCTCTCGGAATGAAGAAGCAGAGAAATAATTGTTCTAAGGATGGTGACATTAAACACTTCCTTTGTTTCCCGCGAGAACCACCAATTCATCTTTACTACCTGGACTGTAGGTTCCGGGTTCAATCCCAGGTAAGTGCTAGGATTTTTTTACGTGGACTTGGACTTCTAGTAATTTCCTCTTGTCTCTGGGTAGTGAGATAGGACGCCCGTGTGCATTACTGCGCACGTAAAAAATCCCACGGCAATTGGAAATCGAAAACAGTAACCTAACGGCGCTGCCCAGGCAACATTTAGAGTTAAAAATCTACCCACAATATTTCAGGATCCTCGCGGGTGCTACAGAGCCTTTAAATTGTGTTGAGCCTTTTCGGACTGAGACTTGAGTTAACAAAAAAGAACAGAGCACCTATGGGTTACTGCTCGCGTGCCATGATGTTGATCCGTTGTTCACAACTTAAACATCATACCTGGACTGTTACGTTAAATTTTTTTTTAGTATCCAGAAGCTATGAGTTGTTAACCCTTAGGCTCGCTATTATGGATATCGCAACCCTTCAGCCTTGATTTCATGACAAATACCGTAAATCTGGGAGAAATATGGCTTTTCTGCCTACCCCCGGGCGTGAATCCGACCCGCAAGGAGTTCTTAATCCGGTCACCGCGCAATCCGGTTTAGCCAACTACGCTAGCTAGCTGAGCACGTTAAACCTTTAACTGTTTCATCCAGCTAGTAGCATCGCGTCGCATATACAGTTGTTGTGACAAGAATAGTGACGGTAAACATTCTTAATGACCAACGTAATATCTCAGCTATAATTGTTGTTGCAAGAATAGTGAACTTAAACCTTCCTGACCACCAATATTACATCTTAAAAAAACTGTTGCTCCCAGAACAGTGACACAAGAACAATGGGTCAGAGTCTATACAGATGGGTCCGCAGAAAGTGCAGATAGAAATGGTGATTCTGGAGTGTACATAGAATTCCCAGATGGTACCAGGGATAAGTCCAGCGTGCCAACCGGAAAGTACTGCCATAACTATGATGCAGAAACTCAGGCTATCAAGATAGCAACAGAGAAACTGCTAAATACCAATCTTGGCTCCCAGTATGTAGTAATGCTGACAGATGCAAAATCAGTACTTGAAGCACTCCAGTCTAGGAAACTACCAGAATTGCAAACACTGCTGACACAACTTAGCCTTCAGCAAAAGTTGTAATGCAATGGATACCATCACATTGTGGAGTGCCTGGAAATGAGAAAGCTGATCAACTGGCAGGAGAAGGTGCGACAAAATTGCAGCCGGATGTACCAGTCACATACCACCAAAAGAAAAGAATCATTAAATCAATCAGGAAACAACCAGCCCCAGCACAAAACGGCTATTTTATTTTGCACAAATCAGAACAAGTCGTTATCCTTCGCCTCAGAACAGGGCACAACCGACTACGTAACCACATATACACAAAATTCAAGATAGGCGTATGAGCCATGTGCACCTGTGGAAAGGTGCCCCAGACAGAAGAGCATGAACTCCAGGACTACACCGAATTTGACACATTAAGGCAAACCTTTTGGCCAGAAAGAACAACAGTGGAACGTAAACTCTATGGACCACTGAATGAATTAACAACAACAGTTACATTTATACAAGAGACAAAATTGCTGATATAAACAACTTATTTCAGGCGAACGAAAGAAGAAGAATACGTCTTTAAAAAAAACTGTTGTTGCCAGAATAGTGTCGTTAAACCTTTCTGATGACCAACATTATATCTCAGCTGCAATAGTTGTTGCAAGTATAAGGACGTCAAACCTTCCTAATTACCAACATCATTTCTAATATATGACTGAATAATGGGAGCCACCGGAGTTTAGTGGCTTGACGCTCGCCTGCGGATCGGAAGGTCTTGGGTTTGGGGCTCCCTTGTCAACCCAGACTTGAGAATAGCCAGCCTTTGTGATGCTGACCACATCACGCATCAAGTGCCGTCTGGCTATAAAATATGTCTAGTCCCAATACGCCCAAATGCGTGGAAAAGGGCCCTTTACTTTTTACATGAATGGTAACAGTAAACCTTTCTAATGACCACCATGATATCTCGATACTGACCCACTACCCCATTTTTCTGAGTTGTTATGTAAATACATCTTGTCTGTTTTATACTCTAGCCGAACAAGTTGCGGGGGCTGAACTCAGGAGTAGGTTACAGACACTCAGCTTCCCCGACCAGTCAGGAAGTGAGGGCAGCAAGTCTTGGTCTATCACGAAGTAAGTTATCTGCCATAAATATGCTCTAACGGCTAAACGGGGTTCCTGGGACCTCTCCATGGGTGATCCTCATGCACACTGTGTGTCACCGGGTGTTTATCGCGTGTATGATGTCCTGGTGTGGTACAACTTACATTACCTACCTACTTTCGTTCTTCTTCCTAACGAAGCTCTTGTGTTTAAATTTGTCTCGCACCGGGTTTTGTTCTTTTTAAAAAAAAAAAAGACATTGGCTCAAAGGTTGATCCAGCCTAAAATGAATACCAGGTAAATTCATGGGAAGTAAAGTCGACCGGCGTGATGTTGATCACATCAGTCACCAAGGGCCGTTGGTCTATGAAATATATGTCTAGCCCTATATATCCAATAGGTCTACAGGCGCGAAAAAGGGCCCATTACTTTTACTTAAGAAATTGAATAAGCCAAACAAATATTAGAAATCGGTCATTAATTTCTACTGAATCTACCTCGGCTGCCACTCCAGACAACACATCCATAATAAAAAAATTTCTTAGTTAAAAGTTAAAATGTTAAAACAGTAGTAGGTTGCTATAGTTGATCGCTGATGTTATTATTTAAAGCAGAAGTCATAACATGCCTACGTGACTAAAAGCCTAATGTGTAATAAGTGGAGCGGTGCAAGCAGTAGGGAAGGGTTTGCCACTTCTAAACTTTTTTGGGTTGGGCCCAAGGCATCTAAGCCTTGCTTTGATGATTAAAAACAATACCAATCTGATGGTATTCAGTAGAAAATATGAGACAGCAGTAGATTAACTAATAATTCAGGTGCAACAGGTTAATAAAAGCAGTGACAGATGACAATTAGTCTTTTCTCTTGAGCCTAGGGCAGCGCATAGACCAGAGGCCAAAGCTCTTCATTGTCAAGCATTTCATTGCCACCTGATTTAGATCTTGGATTTTCATTAGGCTTATGGTTGAGCCGTTCCTAATGATGGTTCTACTTAGAGTCTTTCTTGTTCTTGTGCGTTTTATTTTCCCTTCAGGCGTTGATGGGGAAGTCTGGTCTTATCCCTTTTGGGTGCACTATCGATGTAATTCCAGCGGCACTTTATGGTAAAACTGGACTCATTATCTTGATTTGTCTTTTGTCGTAGTTACGTACTGGATCTGTACTATTGTTCTAAGATCCTTGTTCTCTAAATTGTCTTTTTTTCTTCTTAAATTTTGTATCTAGGTTGAATCTAGAGCTACGATTGCTTTCCAACTCTTGCATCCATAAGTGAGTACTGGAATCACACAAGAATTGAAGATCTTAAGTTTTGTGTGTTTGCTGAATGTCTTCCATATGTTTGACAGTTTGTTAAATTCTAGATAATTTTTCTAGCACTGAATCCACTATACATGCTATTGTACTCCCTTGGTATGTAGAAGACGGTAGGAACATCATATTATCTTTGAAATGAACTAAGAAACGAATGATATTTGTTTGGTACTGAAAGAGTTTATGATGCTGTTTGATCTTTGTAGCATTCGTAAAGATGGTATCTCCGGACCAGACGCACACATCTCGCTGAATCCCGTGGCAGGCGGGATCACACTGGGCATCTCCAACTTCGGCATAAGTTTCTATGCAGACTGGAACATCAAGTACAGGATTATGTGAGTCGAGTTTGTTGCACTTACGTTTTCTGCGAACTGCTTTCCTTTGGACTTTTGTACTATTTCAGGCGGGAGAGAGAAAGTGTATGCGGGAAATATACAAGTTTGACACATTGCAAAACACCAGATTATACAACGCAACATTTGCATGCGAGGTTACGTTACAACAGTGTTACACCGTCGAAAACACCTGTTTTAAACAGTGCAGCACACGCGTTGAAGTAGCTTTTACTAAGCCAGATGTTTCTTGTTGGAATGGTGTGATAGTATCCTCATCATGTCATCACCTCCACCACCTTCACCAAAATCATCAACTACATTGCTCACTATGTGGGTTTAAGGGCCACAATCTTTTAATAACCCATCAGTTAGTTAATCAGTTAATCGCTGTTTCATCGTCACGGCAAACTAGGCACACTGTATAGTTGCTACGTTACACAAAATTCCCATTGTTGTCCCATGTGAACACAATTGAAAACCATTGCGGTTTCGGTAATGTCAACAGTAGACACACCCATTAAATGCATTGTGCAGTATAGGAATAAACTCACAGGGAGCAAGTACAGCAGGGATCTACCAGTCATCAGTAGAAGTTATCCTCGTCGACAAACGTTTCGGCCCACGATCTCCTAGACGTTTTCAGAGGTGGGCCCACCTAAGTTCATGAAGCTCAGGGCTGGTACCCTGCTGCACGAAATTACCGGATGGTGTTACTTTTCGGATAGGGACAAGACGACTTGGTGATTTGCAGAAGGTACTGTGAGATAAGAAGTCTTCGCGGCAGCCTAATTAGAACAGTCAGCATACCTGGACGACCGAGCGACAAGCTTACGATTGGTATACCGGACACATGTTGGACTTTTGTTAGCAGGTGGCAGAGGATCACTGGCAGACAATTCGGACACGATGGATTTTCAAGGGACGAGAAATTATTTTCCACAAGACACCCGGACCAGCTCACAGAGGCCCGTCCCCTACGTTGTTTCGCTACGACCAAAGCCAACTCGAGGCCCTTTCGGCTACCTTGCCCAGTTTTTTAAGCGTTCGTTTCCGTTCATTACAGCGCAATCCTAGTTCTTTAAACACATTGTACAGTGAAGTGGAGACGAGACCTCTCGCTCCCACTTCGACGACAAAGACACGTACCGTTTACGCCTCGTCTCTCCTCAGACCGGCTGCTAAATCACAGTATTTCCAGGGATTATATGTGTGATTTTCATCCATACGCGACTCATACGGGACGGTCAGTTCAATCAGGATGAGCTGCCGTTTCTCTGCAGAGTGGAGAACTATGTCAGGTCGCATACCGGTCTTCCGGATTAACTCAGTGTACCTTTCATGGCGTGGCAGATCAACCGCCAGTAACCAGTCCCTCGCAGAGTCTAGCATAGATGGAGCGAATGCGTTTTTGTTGACCTTACCCTTTTGAATCTGCCCAGCCTTGAGGAAACGTAGAGGACGATGGTAAGGACTGGCCCTTGCGTTGGCCCGCATCCCTAGCCTGGTCAACACTGCTGCTAACTCTGTTAGCACTTGTTGTGTCGCCAGGTGTATCGCCTTGACCTTAGGCTTTCCTGCTGCGGACAGAACATATTCGAGAGTCTGCTTCGCTTTTGCACAGTGGCAAGTCGGATCGTTGGATCGCTTAACCATGTTAACACCGGACGGTAGTTAATACATCGTACGCCGAACGAACGATAAAGCTCAATCGCAGCGGGGTCATTCGCCAGATCTCACCCAATGTGAGCATTCTGGGCAATGCGCTCGTCCAGGCTGACCACAATGGCCCTGCTGCGACTGCTGGGCTGCTTTCTGGAAACGAACCTCGTTTTCGTTGGTGCCTCACCTGTTTTGTATCATCATGTCTCGGCGTTCTTTGCTGAGCCTTTGACCACCAATTGACCTTCCCGTGACATAGGCCTCGACGGTCGGTTTGAGTGTATCCCACTATCTCCCTCAATTTTAGTGCATTCTAAGCAGATTGAATCGCATCGAGGACCCTCCACTTCTGCCCAGTCTTGAGAGCGGGCTGGACAGCGATGACATTTGGGTCTGAAGACTCGCGCAAGAGCATGGCGAGTCTTACTTTGCCAACTTTGAACTCTTTGGTTATCGATATGAACGGGAGTACCAGCTTAGCCTGCTTGCAATATAGAGCAACGTCGGTCAGACAAGGCGGTGCACCAATCCACTTTTTTAAGGCTGTGTTGATTTTCCTCTCCATGGTTTCCACTGCAGTCATCATCACCTCGTAGACTAACAGTGGCCAGAAGAGCTTCGGAATCAACATGAATTGGAGACACCATACCTTGAACTTCCTGACCAGCCTGCAACGCTCGATCGCGAGCAGGCCAGTAGCCAGTGACTCGTGTATACGCCGGACCTCCGCTCTATCAGATAACTTTGAATCGTAAACGCGACCGAGGCTCTTCACCGGTTCCTCCAGAACCGTGGGGATCTTGTTCCTTGCCACCGTAACACTGGCTGCCGCCACTCGACCCTTAAGGATTGACAGACTACTCGACTTCTGCGGTTTGAACTGCATACCACTCCATTGGACCACTGCGTCCAATCTTCCCAGGATCGTGCGGGCAGACTGCTCGCTGCCCGTTATAATAGTCGTGTCATCCATTAAAGGCATGTAGTGGCCGGCATCCATGTGATCCCCTATTTGAAGGCACAGTCCGTAAGCCGACCGCCCCGTCCAACATGATCTGCATTGCCATGACAAACAGTATTGGGTGAGAATCGTACACCCCATAGCTATCCCAATCTTGCAGAGCTCAAGTCCACCTCGTTGTAAAGTCGAGGTAGAAAAGCGCAAAGCGAACCTTAGAGAAATATTGCTCGATCATATCATTCGACCTATGCCGGTCAGTGGAACCATGCGTAGGGCTCGCCACAGTGGCCTCATGGGAGTACTGCCCTCGTATGCGTTGGCTAAGTCCAAACAGATCACGGTGCAATTGGGTTCTCTTATGCTTGGCTCTCTGAATAGTCCTCCCAAATCATGGTCCGCGTGTTCAAGGCTCCCCAGGAACGCCCGGAAATACCATCCTTCTAAACATTCGTATCGATGTACTTTGTTTAGCCATCAGATACTGTTTGAGCCGCGATCCATGACCGAGAAGAATAGTTATTTTACATCCTCAACCTTCAAATCAGCGAGATGGGCCTTAATTTAGAAAAGACTTTTCGAGTCCTGCTCTTTTGGGAATGTAGACCCCATTCGCCTTTTGCCACTCTGGACAGATATGTTTACTGATGCCGGAGCCCGCTTGTCTCAAACAAGAACACTAAAACATTTTTAGGATTTTCGGGCAACGCTTGTAAAGAAAAGTACGGAACACGTTAGGAACTGGAGCAGACTTGCCGCTGGCTCGTTCACAACTTCCTCACCTCAGACCAAAGGGGAGGTATCATTTTAAATGGTACCGCGGCAACTCAAGGATGCCTTACAATCCTCACCCATCTCCCCCTGACCCCCCGGACTCAACCCACCCTCCTGCTCCCCACCAGGACCCTGCCACTTATTTCTGCCCGCCCCTGCTTTTCCCCCCCACCTCATCTAATCGCGTTTACCGATCATGGTTGTGTGTAATTCCTTGCGTCCCAACTCCTGATACCCTGCCCTCCCCCCCTCCCTCGATTGCACTCCCCATGCTGAGGCCGCTAAGGATCTCTGGATTGTCATCGAGAGGCTCTCTCCTCCCTTTTTGTCAGAGTACATCTTGCGTAGATGTACTCACAGTTCTTCCTGACTGACAACCTGAGTCCCAGACTTCTGTTGCTCGAATAGACCTCGGGGCAAACTTGATACGTTTTTCCCTAAAGAATTCTCTCGCTCCCTTTTGGTTCTTTGTCCTGTTGGCACAGAAACGCTCAGCGCGACAGAGGGGACTGTGTCTGTTTCTTTAAATGCAACCAGACTTCATACAGCCCCTCCCGTTCGCTGCCTGTAGCGGCTTTGAACCGTTTTCTGAGGGCATTCTTGTCTGCCCGACACTTCACAATGTCCCTCTGCCTCCTGCTAGTATTCTGCTTGGCACCCGGCTGTGCCTTCTGCACTGTCCCGAACTCGCGGGAGCAGTGTTCATATATAACATCACCAAATTGTGTAAGCCTGACGCCTAACGACTTCTTGTTTAAATCATGTTTAAGTAGCTCACATAATGTAGCCTCCAACTTACACCACACCATCTTATCGCTCGCAGGTGGAAACCTGATCTTGGAACGCACTTCCTCAGAAATCATCAAACGTGCTCCTCCGCAGTCGACGTCATGGGCCCCTCCGGGCGAGTGGGGTTCACCCTGCCCGTCATTCCCTAACGACTTAGAAACTACCACAGGAGTAGTATTTTTGCGACCGGCGCTATTACTTTGCGTGGAGGCAACCTCGCATTTCTTCTTCCGGCATGGTGTTTTCAGGACCATGCACCCCGTGGGGGTGAAGCTTTTCCCACATGTACAGAGCCATCCGGACGTTAGGCGAGTATTCTGAGTCCGTGGGATAGCATTGTCGCCACCGAGAGTATCAATTTGATTGGGCCACTTCATTTCCCCCCCCCCACCTTTCGGCGGGCCGTGGGGGCAATATTTCTATATGGTTTTTTGCGAAAGCGGGAGGTATTATACTGTGTTTAGAGGGTGATTAACCCTGTCCACAGTACGACAGCTGTCTCTCAGATGTCAGTTTAATTCCCCCCGCAGATACCGGTGTGCCAGTCTTTCCATAGGTATCACAAGGTCTTTCCCGAGAGTCACCATTCTTCATGGTAGTCTTGTGGGGCTAGCCTACGTACAATCGGAATAAACTCAAGAAACAGGGAGCAAGTACAGCAGGATTCTACCAGTTCATCAGTAGAAAGTTATCCTGCGTCGACAAACGTTTCGGCCCACGATCTCCTAGACGTTTTCAGAGGTGGGCCCACCTGAGTTCATGAAGCTCAGGGCTGGTACCCTGCTGCACGAAATTACCGGATGGTGTTACCCTTCGGATAGGATGCAGTATACAAAAAGCATTTTCCAAAATGCGACAACTTAACGGCTTTCTGACATCGAGTGTGTTTAGCACATATAACAGATTATCTGTGAACAACACGTTGAAGAGTTGAACGCTCTTTTAAGGATAAACACAGATAAAGAAGAAGAAGGAGAGGCTGGAAGAGCATGAGGTGGAGTAGCAACAAAAAGTGAAGGAAAAATGTTTTGCCGTTTGGGGGATGGATCGCCCTCTGCTACATCTAAAACACCAGGTTCAGTTGTTGTGGTTGGAGGGTGGGGGCACCTTTCTAGGTAGGGACAAAAGTCTTAACTTCTGTAGTTTCTTTCTGTGTAATTCCTTGCATGATTGACAAATATTATACTTTTTACAGATTCAGATTTAGCTCCAGCGGGAGTTTGGATTTCAGCATATCAGGAGCTTCTGTTACCCTGGTAGCAGGACTGGGTAAGTAGACTTAGGTCAGTAAGCCGATCAAACTGATCATATCTTCTGTAGCAGCGTTTGCTGCAGGAGTCAGTGATTAAGTGATTTCTGGCTTCCGGTCAAAATGGACGCTAGGCACGGTCACTGTTTTGAGTTATAGCGAATTTGTTTTGCCTGTCAGACGGTGGCGTTGCATTTTTTGCTTCATTTGTAGACTGAAAGGATATAATTTCGTCGCCTAGCTACTGTGTTGTGTGCATGGTGGAACACTGTGAGCTGCGGATTTCACTTAGAATGTTTTTCCGCTGTGACCAACGTGGTGTTGTGAAATATTGATTCTGAAAAATGGCGCGTAGCCTGTCGTAAAATTGGTAGTTGCCCTATGTGATTACAACTGATCGTGTGTACAACTGTAGATCTGTTGGCAACTTCTGCTACCGTCGATGATGAACTGCATTTCTAATGTCAAACTGTTTGTGCTAGCACTTCTGATGACTACCGTTTGCTTTTAATTCGTATGTATGCTAGTGCATATGCTGAGACAGCAGTCTGTCAATCTTTCCACAACGGACGGTGATGAAGATTCTGTGTGTTTTTCGTTGGCACAGGAGCGGAGCAACTATGGGGTGACCCGATTGCTATGAAGCTGACTCTAAAACTGCCAAGATTACCAAGAATACCAAGTGATTTTTCTTACAATGTTGAGGTTAATCAGCGAAGAAAACATTCACTGAAGGATGGAGTTATGAAAACATTACTAGATTAATCACCAGACCCATTCCTCAACAATAAAAGTCACTTGCAGTAGACTTTAGCAGAATATCATGTCAGGATTTTGTCATAGGCACAGCTGTGGTATTACGATAGTGAGCGCCACCTGTTTTCTGTTAACGCCGAATGTTGAACGGCGTATGCCAAACCCGACATCCCTTAGTGTGCAAATTGCTTCCGCGGAGGAGCACACTAGGAAGGGTTCTAGTCTTGTCCTAGGAAGTGCACATGTAACCTGCCGATGGCTTCGGCAGAGAAGCAAACTAGGGAGGGTACTAGTCATGTCCTTGGAAGAACACATGTAACCTGCCAATGGCTTTGGCAGAGGAGCACTCTAGGGAGGGTTGTCTTGTCCTAGGAAGAGTAAATAACCCTGACAACATCAAGATATGGCAGAGCAAACCAGGCCCGTAGCCTTGGCTGGCTGATGGTCTCAGGGAAGCTCTAGAGGGCAGACAGACAACATGGCTTTTTTTGGGGGGATCTAGCAGCTTCTGTAGCATACGGCGTCTCAAATTTATTTGGTGTTTATCTTTCTTTTTTTGAAGGGTCTATGGGATCATATCAACAGTGCAATAGAACAAATAGAAAATCCATACATTGAAAGAATAATTCAAAAAAAAAAAAAAAAAAAAGGAAATCTGATACATCTACATGGAAATTTTCACAGCTGTCATCGAATAAACATCAGCTTTAGTAAAGTAACTTTGGCACCAAGTGTTGGAGTCATCATCGTTACATACCACTTGCGGAATTTATTCATGTCAATAAAAACAGATGTGCCCTGTTCGTTCTTCAGTTATAAAAACTTCCTGAAATAAAGGACTCCTTTCATTCCAGTGTTGAACTGGGCATATGCTTCGATAGATGGATCAGTCGGTTGGTCCTTTCCACACGGCTGTCTGAAGGTGCGCTACACTAAGATTTAAATCAAAAGTCTCAGTTTGGATGTCTGGACTGTTAATCAACAGGGAAGATTCCTAGATACTCGGTTCAACTATCAGAGAGGTGACAGGCACCAGCAGCGGCTACACATCTAGTCTTGTGCGGATAAGTATGGACATATGGTGCTGAGCTCCTATTATTATAGACCGATCTATGAGTGATCTGATCTACATCAAGCCGACCACATTTACTTTCCATGACAGATTCCTGGTATAGATGTCAGGCTGGGTCCGCCTAAGTATCAATGTCACTTTTTATCATCCAAGCCACCGGAGAAAAACGAGGCGATATACAGAAAACCACGACACCGCGCTACAGCCTGGTATCTGTGAGACAACAAAACCACGACACCCGGCTACAGCCTGGTGTCAGTGAGACGATAACACCACGACACTAAACTACAACCTAGTGTCAGTGAGACGATAACACCACGACACTGGGCTACAACCTAGTATCAGTGAAACGACAAAACCACGACAATCGGCTACAACCTTGTGTCAGTGAGACGATAATACCAAGACAACGGACTACAACCTGGTGTCAGTGCGACAATAACACCACGATACTGGGCTACAACCTGCTATTAGTTAGACGTCAAAACCACGACACTGGGCTACAACCTGGTATCAGTGAGACGACAAAACTACGGCAATGGGCTACAACCTAGTGTCAGTGAGACAATAACACCAAGACAATGGATTACAACCTGGTGTCAGTGAGACGATATCACCATGACACTGGGCTACAACCGAATGTCAGTGAGACGATAACACCCCGACACTGGGCTATAACTTGTGTCAGCGAGACGACAAAAACGCGACACTGGGCTAGAACCTGGTATCAGCGAGACGACAAAAACGCGACACTGGGCTAGAACCTGGTATCAGTGAGACGACAAAAACGCGACACTGGGCTAGAACCTGGTATCAGTGAGACGACAAAACCGCGACACTGGGCTAGAACCTGGTATCAGCGAAACGACAAAACCGCGACACTGGGCTACAACCTGGTATCAGTGAGACGAAGAAACCGCGACACTGGGCTAGAACCTGGTATCAGCGAGACGACAAAACCGCGACACTGGGCTACAACCTGGTATCAGTGAGACGAAGAAACCGCGACACTGGGCTGCCATCTGTATCAGTGAGGCGACAATACCACGACAATGGGGTACCACCTGGCATCGGTGAGACGACAGTAGAAAAGAGAAAATAAATGGAATTATGTATTCGATGCTGACTGTAACCCGGGATTGAAGGGCGGACAAGCAGGTACTGCAGTTACTGCGCTGTCGAGAAAATTCATTAATGGATGATCGTGTCTACTGTAGCTAACCCCCACTGCGGAGACGGGGCAAATTCGTTTGTTTTCTTTGTACTGGCACATTGTGAAATAATGTTGTTGCTAAACTACACCAGGAGACATTAGATCAAATGGTTTGGACATGTGTCAAGAATACTACCAGATAATTCACCACAGAGAGCTTTGTCACAGAGTCAGAGTTTGATAGTTTGACACCGCAAACGACGGATAGACGATCCAAGGTCAGAAGGACCAGAATCTACGTTGCACATAACAATACTCGCACCTGATGACTCTTCCAGACCTGAAAGACAGAACAAGACTAGAGAAGGAGGGAGAGTAAATGATAACGACGATAAAGATGATAATAATGATGAAAGTGGAATATAAAAAGTGTAACACATCACACCGCTTTTTATATTCATTCAGGAGAAAAGAATGGTCGTCCCACTGTGTTCGCGAAATCCTGCAGTTGTAACGCCGGAGACATCGGCATCAAGTTCCATGGAGGGATTGTAGCATGGATCTTGAACATTTTTAGAGCAACAATAAGAGGAAAAATTAGAGATAAACTCCAAAATGAGGTGAGTTCAAGAATTATACATTTGTAGACCTTTTTTGTAGATCAGTTGCTCTCAATCTTCCTAGTGCAGCGACCCTTTAATAAAATTCCTCGTGTTAAGGTGATCCCCCCCCCCTACCCTCACACCCCCACCCCCCCTCCCCCCCCCCCCAGCCAGAAAAAATATTTTTGTTGCTAGTTCATAACTTCAGTAAAAATGTGCATTCCGATGGTGTTAGGCGACCCCTGTCAAGGGCTCTTTCGATCCCTAAAGAAGTCCTGACCCACATATTGAGATCAGCTGTCCTGGTGCATTAGCCTGATGGCAAAAAATAGGCCATGACTCATTACCCCAGGGAGCAGTCTTGGTGTTGCTCATCTGCGCAGCCGTAGGTGGTGGGTTCGAATCCGAACACAGCAGGGCATTTTTTTTTTCAGAAACGACGTTGGCTCCGAGGTCACTGCAGGCTTAAATGAGTACCAGGTAAGGTCCGGAAGTAGAGGCGGTCGGCGTGATTCTGCCACATCACCCACCAAGTGCCGTTGCTCTATAAAATACAGATAGGCCTAGCACTCTATGTACAATACTCCTGAAGGCGTGTGAGAATGGTTATTGCTTGTATTTGCTACTTTCAAGGCAGTGTATGACAGGGAATAATAGGAGGGTCATGACCCTAAGATCGGGTCAAGGGTCGCATGGCTGGTGCTGTCGCCACCGATGATGCAGATTCAAGTCTACTCCAAGAACTACTTTTACGATACAGATTCAATGTTTTGTTTTCTATTTTGTCACATCAATTTTCCTTATGCTGTGAAAGTGTTTAAAATGTGAAGTGAAATATAACCAGGTGTGCCAGATTGTCACTGAACAAGTTAACACTCGAGCAGACCAGGAACTTTCCAGAATGAAAGGTATGTCTCTGTTTTTTATGTTTCTTTGTTTTTCTGTCAGAGAAACTGTCAGCATTTGCCTGTAACTTTAGTCTACTTACAAATAAATTGTCTTAAAAACTTTAAATATCCTTACTGGAGAGAAGGGTCGACGGCAGGAGCGCCAGAGGTAGACAGCGTTACAAGTGGAAGACAACATTAAAAGATAAAAGAAACAGCAATGTTGGTGTACAATCAAGACAAGAGATAGAGCGTGTCGGAGATTCATTACAGCCAACCTTCATTGTGAAGACGACACCTGGTTGACTGATTGAAATACTCTCAAAGAGACAATTAGAAATAGTAAGCGGAAATATTATCAGTAAATCAACAAGTAAAGAGGCGATGACAATACGTGGAAGCATTTATGACCCAAATTTTAACAAACTCCTGGGTAAGTGATGTTTGTAATTAATGGCCGAGCAGTTACAACGTCGGGTTTTCATGTAGGAGACCTGAGTTCGACCTCCAGTAAGGTGGAGTTTTTCTGTGCGGGGGAGGAAGTTTGGGGGGGGGGGGGGGAATTAAACATCTTTACCCGTACATTTTGTGGCGACAGCACTAGCCAAGCGGCCCACAATCCTAACGCACACGACCTCCTGTATAAACCGCTCTAAAAAGTGGTACATAAAGGCACTAGTGACAGCTTTCACAGTTAATCAACATAACCAGCCACCGGGGTATAGCCGCTGGACGCTCGCCTGTGGATTAAATCAGAGCCATACTTTTTTCTTCAAATATTACATTAGCTCTCATGTCGACCCAGCCTTGAGTAGGTAACAGGTACAGTCCTGTGAAGAAAAGGCGGTTGGTTTGATGCTGACCACATCACCCACCCAGTGCCGATTGGTCTATAAAATGAAGGTTTATAACCCTGTATGCTTAATGCACCCGAAGGCGCCGGAAAGGGCCTTGATATTCTTTACACATATCCATCGTTGGGCACCCTGTTTGGGGTGGGGGTGGAGCGGTGATTAGACCCACTGCCCTTTAACATGTATGTCGTAAAAGTCTACCTGCTACGTGATGATGACGATGATAGATAGCGTAATTAGATGTACTTCTTTAGCCAGTAAATGTACAGACTGCTTATAAAGATGAACTGACGATCTTCACACCACCTTTAATAATGGACAATATAAAGTACACTACCCGACAGTCAGCGCGAATGATGTCATCGGCTCAATTAATATTATGTGGACTAACTGTGATTAACGGACGGCCAGTCCACTTTGCTTAAGCCATGGAGGTTTCACCAACTTTAGTCTCATCGTGAAGATGTACCCAGAGTCGGACAGTGCTAACATACACTGTTGAATCTCCATAATCATTCTTCAAACGTTCCTGGATCCGAATTTAAGTCTCACCTTCAGCAGAGAGGAGTTCAATGACATTACGATGTCATAAGCGAACGTCTGTGGTAACCACTTTTCGCAGCTGACTCTATTTATAGGCCAACTAGGTCAACGGGTGTTCCCGTTCTTGTTCAAGTAAGGAGTCCCTCTGTGTTCACAGTTTTTAATCAAGGAGATGTAAATACAGATTAAACTACATTTTCATTAATTTTCGACATGTTTTATAGAATTAAAAGTATTATTAAAATTCAACAATAAAGGCTCTTACAGGCAAACAAAAATGCTTTTGCTACAGTCAACATGAACATCATTAACGTGTAGAAATAAACGTGCCATTTTTACACTCTTACAGGGTGATAAAACAGGGTGGTGAAACAGGGTGGTAAAACAGAATGATAAAACAGGGTGGTGAAACAGGGTGGTAAAACAGGGTGATAAAACAGGGTGGTGAAACAGGGTGGTAAAACAGGGTGGTAAAACAGGGTGATAAAACAGGGTGGTAAAACAGGGTGGTGAAACAGGGTGATAAAACAGGGTGGTGAAACAGGGTGGTTTTTGTTTTAGTATCCAGAAGTCATGAGGTGTTAACCCTTGGGCTCGGTATTATGGATATCGCAACCTTTCGGCCTTGATTCCATTTTAAATACCGTAAATCTGGAAGAAATGTGGCTTTTCTGCCTACCCCCGGGAGTGAACTTGGACCACAAGGAGTATGTCACCCGGTCACCGCGCAGTCCGGTTTAGCCAACTACGCTAGAGAGCCGGGTAAAACAAGGTGGTAAAACAGGCTGGTAAAACAGGGTGGTAAAACAGGGTGGTAACACAGGGTGGTAAAACAATGTGGTAAAACAAGGTGATAACACAGGGTGGTAAAACAAGGTGGTAACACAGGGTGGTAAAACAATGTTGTAAAACAATGTTGTAAAACAAGGCGATAACACAGGGTGGTAAAACAATGTGGTAAAACAAGGTGATAACACAGGGTGGTAAAACATTGTGGTAAAACAGGCTGGTAAAACAGGGCCGTAAAACAGAGCGGTAAAACTGGGTGGTTATGCTGTGTAGTGTAAAAGCGTGTCTGGAGAATCTTGTTAAATTTACAAATAGCACTCGAATACAGTATTTACATAGTTTTAAAAAAATGGTGGCCTTTCTATGTAACCGTCCTCTGTATGAATGATATAGCATTTCTAAAAACAAAATGTGATGATTGCTTGGCATAATGTGATTTGACTGTACTCAAACCAGTGAATCTGGAGATTGCTAAGCAGTTTATCCTGGACTACAGCCTCACTAGTGCTCCCATTGTCACAGGCAACTACGTTGAGGTCGCTACCAAGGTAAACATTACTACTGAACGGGTTTATTTTTTAGCAAAGTCCCCTTAGTTAGTTAGTCGACAGGTTATTTTTACTGCACATAGAAACATTATGTCCATAAGTGAATTTTTGTCTTTTTTAAAAATGATCTTGTCAACCACATCGGCGTAGATTAAAATGTGTTAAAGGTCAATGTGTGGAACGTAAAGGCGGTCATCGTTATGGTAACCACATCGCCCAAAGACTGTCGATTCGTCTGTCAAATGTAGATAAAGTGTTATTTAATCCTAAGAACACGGAAAAGAGGTCCTTTAATTGAATAGGAAAGCTAATGAAAACCCGAAAAGAACCAATGTTTGAGGTTTTAGGTTTTGAGGTTTTGAGGTTTGAGGTTTTGAGATTTTGAGATTTGAGGTTTTGAATAACAGATCAACATTATGGCACACGGGTGTAACCCACAAGTGCTGCGTTCTTCTTACAATTCAAGTCTTGAGTCCGAAGAAGTTCAGCACAGTAAACAGGCTCTGTAGCATCGGCGAGGATCCTGAAATACTTTGGGTTGATTTTGAACTCCAAATTTTTCCTCTACAGCACAGTAAGGCTACTCTTTTCAATTTCCAAATGCCAAGGAAATTTTTACGTGCGCAACAATACACACGGGCGTCCGATCTCACTCCCCAGAGACCAGGGGGAATTACTAGAAGTTTAAATCCACGTGAAAAAAATCCCAGCCCTTACCGGTGATTGAACCCGGAACCTCTAGCACTCGAGGAAGACACCATGTTTCAATACCACGCAGCCCACAACCATAGTTGACCGAAATAAGGGTCGCAAGAGTGCTTTTTTTGTGTGTGTATTAAAATAAATTGTGCCTTGCAAGAAACCTTTTTATGCAAGAAAACCGACGGTTGAGTGTGTTTCTTCACGGGTATAAAATGCTGTTACCTTACAGGGAACCGTCTACTGGAAAGACAACAGACAAGAAAGTCCATTCATGCCAGATTTGCTGCCACCTTTGTCTGAGTTCAGCAAAATGTTGTATGTGGATGTGACCGAGTACTCGGTTGACACTTTGGCCTATGTGGCACACACCAATGGCTTCCTTAAGTACGCCATAACAGTGGACAATGTAAGTTATGTCATTTCCTTTTGTCCATTACAGTTAGGAACATATTTTAACTCCCTTTCGATTGCTGAAATGTGTGATAATAGTATCTTGTTGTTGTTTTTGTTGTTGGTCGTCTTCTTCTTCTTCTTCTTCTTCTTCTTCTTCTTCTTCTTCTTCTTCTTCTTCTTCTTCTTCTTCTTCTTCTTCTTCTTCTTCTTCTTCTTCTTCTTCTTCTTCTTCTTCTTCTTTTTCTTCTTGTTCTTTTTCAAATTAACATAAATAAAACTAAATGCTTTGATTTGATTTGATTCGAAAACCGACATCAGAGCACTCGTGGTATTCCCATAAGCGCTCGTTCCCCATCTTCAGCAGCCAGCGAAGAGTTCCGATACTAATGGAGCCAGTAGCATTCTAATTAAACGTCCGTCTTGCCTTTCCTCTAAGCCTCGATCATCTGACAGAACCTCTCGTCACTCCCCCCAGCACCAGTCTCACCAGACTGTGGTGATCAATCTGCTTCTCCGAACTTTACACACTATCCCACAAGGTACTAACCAGGCCGAACTTTACACACTCTCCCACAAGGTACTAACCAGGTCTGCCTTACCATGTATCAATATTCCACCAAGTTGTACAGAGCCAGCCAGTCTGCCCACCTGTTCATTTCACACCAACGTAACCCGGTGAAAAAATTCAGACAATACTCCATATCCGTGTCCTCCGAAGCGAAGCATGCCACTCTGCATGAAGCATACCTGTTCTGATCTTCCTCAGCATGCTTTCTGAGTCAGTTACAATCACGATGTGTGTGTGTTTGTCGTGTTCTCTAGCCAGCGGAAAGCTGCAGTGACCGCTTCCACCTTCATTAATAAGCTGGATGTTGTGGTATCTTATGCTAGGCTCTCCTGCACCAAACGTCGACCTTTAACTTGTGCTAAGAAGCCCCAAGCATTTCTTTTGCCTCTTGACACTGAACCGTCTGTGTAAATGATCAAATCCTCTGAGCGAGCATTATCTTGAATTATTTGCTGAATTTCAACCTCTGTGGCACCTGCTGGCCAGTCTCTTACCCGGCTCAGCGTGATTATAACTCTACTCAAGTCTGACTGTTCAGGTGGCACTTTGACCCACTCCTCTCCTCGCCTAACGTTCTCAAGGATGCAAACATGTCTGACTGTGTCTTCTGCCTGAGCCATCGATGACCTCCCTCTTATCAGTCGCTGACCCTTAACTGCACCCAGAGCTTCATGCAGAGGGTGGTCTGTGTCTACAGCTACCCTGAGATATGACTTCGCTTGCAGCACCTTGTGCCTACCTGCAACCGTCAGCAAACCAAGGATGTATCACATACACACCACTGGGGTGTCTCTGGTGCAACCCAGAATGACCCCATAGCCGCGTTCTCTAGTTTGTCCATCTGACTCTTTGAGACGGCAAGGAGTCCCAGGCCATAAAACTAAATGTGTGCTTGTAACAACTATACACAAGCTACAAACATTAGTACTGCACAAGCCACCATTTGAGCTAACGGAACACAAAACAGTAGGTCTAATAACTGACAACCATTTAACTTGGAATGCTCATGTTTGTGCCATAACTAAGAAAATAGCAAAACAAGTTTATCAGCTTGCTAAAATTCAGCACTAGAGAAGATGCAAGAAAAGTATTTAACGCGCCTCTCATCCAAACACATTTCTACTAGTGTTCCACAGTTTAGGATGGTTGCGCCAAATTCAATACTAAAAGACTAAGTTCCCGTCAGAGCCGTGATTTACGCCTGGTTTCAGATAGAAAACATATCGATAAAAATAATCTCTTTAACCATTTAGGACTATTGCAATTTAGTAAACGTTCAGTTTTTAACAAGGCCAAATTTATTTATAAAATTTTATCTCAGAATACTCTAGATTACATTTACCGGTTGATTAAATCCAATCCTACAAACAAAGAAAACGACTAAATTTATTACATTTGCCCAAACCTAGAAAAGATTTATATAAAACCTAGAATATATTATTATAAAACATCGTACTCCGCTGCTCATTTATGGAACCAACTTGCACTGGCCTGAAAAATTCAAAGAGTCCCCTAGTAATTTAATCGCTAACTTTTTTAGTTTATGGTTACAAGCGATTATACAAGGTCAGACAATTAAGTAATGACACTGATTTCATTACGGCCAAGACAAAAGTGCCATCTATGAAGCAAAGCATGGAACCCAAGGAGGCAACCTTCATCTATGATCTGGCAACTTTGCATCGCTGTCTGATAAGCAGACGACAAACAAGCCGCCATTTTATTCACCTGGTTAGATGTGGGTTGTCACGAAATCAGGATGGAGCAAAGAGCTAACATTAAATTCTTTTTAAAATTCAGGAAAAGCCCCATTGAGACAGCTGAATCGATGCGACAAGTTTATGGGGATAATCCTTTATCTGGTGCACAGATTTGCAGGTGATATTCACGATTCAGAAGTGGTGTAGAAATGATTACAAATGCAACTAGACCTGGACGCCAAATTTCCGTTCGTAATGATGAACTCATTGCAAAAGTCACAGAACGGATACAAGAAAATCGTCGTTTGACTGTCAGGATGATGGCAGATGAATCTGGTGTTAATGGAGAGACCCTTCGTAAAATTTCGGTACAAGATTTTGCAAGAAAAAAGTTGCTTGTAGGTTTGTACCACATTCGTTGTCTGATGACGAAAAACATCAGCGGTTGTAAAAGGTGGTGACGTTTTAGGGGCCGCAAAATGCTCAGGGCGGCAAATATATAACAAATAGTAATAACATGTTCACAAATATATTTCCGTTATCATTACGAAGCACACCTTAGATCAGCAGTCTGGCATTCAAATGTTATGGCGATTGTGAAGATGAAGTTTTGCTGAGTCAAGAAGAGGCGTAACATTAATAACTGCATAGGGGCGTCCTAAAACGGCCCTAATAACGTAACCTACCGTACACATACGTACTCATCGGTAAGCACATAGACATTGCGATGATTCTCTTTTATCTTCTACTGGCTCGCCTCATCGCACGCTCGCTGCCAACTCACAAAACCGACATCACACGACGAGCGGAAAAAATGGACGACTGGGAAACAACACGATACTGTTCCAGTACTTTAATCTTCCACTCGCGGCTTACACAGCCGGCACATGAACTTGACAACTGTCCAGGCACACATTATAATGCAAGAATCAATTATTACCTTCAAGCAGAAATCCCAATCGATTTACACTAACATCGTAAACGAAACACAACAGCTGTCCTGACAGATGCACTCAGACGACCGGCAGACATATTACTGGCCAGCTTTCTTCGCCAAGTTGGACTGGAACAAATTCACTCAAAAACATCTGCTGAATTCACACATCATCCACCGCTGTCCATGCACACTGTTCCTGGGTCCAAAACGAGACTGCCCACAAACCTTTTCCTCGCTATTATATAGCCCTCTGATCTATCCTATTCTAGAATATTCTGAATTCATTCTCACGAATTTCTCACTGTTGAAAGTCGTGTCTGGTCCGTGATAATTCACATTTCACACAGATCCTGTGAACAATCATGTTTCACATAAAACCTGACTTTCAGATGTCTCTCATGAAACTCGACATAAATCTCGTGTTATCTCAACCAGTCAGAACATTCGTCTTACATCTATTACTGACGTCATCTATCGGGCATAAATTAATGAGGAGAAAATGACTCACTACAGACATCCGTTCGCCCGCAAACATTTGTACAAAAAACATACAGAACTAAAATGAAAGATGAGGATGATGATGATGCAATTCTCCGCAGCTGTAAACAACAGAGATGATTGATACTGTCCATCTGAAAACATCAAGTATTGTGTGATTCTGTCTCATAATTCAGACCTAACTGTTTTCTTAAAATTGTTTGTTCTTGCAGTTACCAATTGCAGCCTCGGATTTGCTGAACCCCAGCGGTCAGGTCAGTTTAGCTCGATATTTGTTTTTACCTAAATTTGAATTCATCCATCCCTCCGTCCATCCATCCTTCCACCCATTCATCAATCCATTCGTCAATCCATCCATCCAACCACTGGTTTACATTTGATTACTATTACACAGTGTCATTTAAAAAGAGAGTTAAAGGAAGGAAAATAACATTCGACACATGAACTTTCTCTTCGTTTAGAGGTTAACTCCCCTAATTAAAGTATAAACGTTCATCTGTAGACACAATTCCGACTTCTTTTGTTTCGTCTTTCCCTTCTTTTTGATTTGAATTGCCATTGTCCCCAGCTAAAGGATCATTATCCGAACTCGAAACTTGAACTTCGAATCAGCTCTTCAAGAGCCCCAAGTGTGAGGTTTGAGAGCACAAAACTGACCATTGCCGCCGCAGCAAGAGTGGAAGTGGCTGCCCACACACCGGACGGAGTGGTGACCCCACTTTTACTAAAAGTAGTAAGTATACGAGTTAACACATAGTAAATACCTCTCTCGCAGATACCACTGTCGAAAGCAGCACAAGAAGGCCTGCTGCCACATCACGTGCAGCTGGGGTTGAAACCAGTACCATAGAATTAAGAAGCGCGTTCGCAACGCCTAAGCCCCAGAAGCTAACAGGGCAAGTGACATTATGATTATTTGCCCCCCCCCCCCTTCTTGGTTATGCCCAGGGTTTTCCACGATCTCTCCTCCCACTTAAATTTTCCCAGGATTTTCCACGATCTCTCATCCCACTTAAATTTCCCAGGGTTTTCCACGACCTCTCATCCCACTTAAATTTCCCAGGATTTTCCACGACCTCTCCTCCCACTTAAATTTCCCAGGGTTTTCCACGACCTCTCCTCCCACTTAAATTTCCCAGGGTTTTCCACGACCTCTCCTCCCACTTAAATTTCCCAGGGTTTTCCACGACCTCTCCACCCACTTAAATTTCCCAGGGTTTTCCACGACCTCACCTCCCACTTAAATTTCCCAGGGTTTTCCACGACCTCTCCTCCCACTTAAATTTCCCAGGGTTTTCCACGACCTCTTCACCCACTTAAATTTCCCAGGGTTTTCCACGACCTCACCTCCCACTTAAATTTTCCAGGGTTTTCCGCGACGTCTCCACCCACTTATTTTTCGTATGGTTTTCCGTACTTCATTTTTTTCCATTTCAATTTATTTATTGGTTCACATTTCTATATCCTGGTTTGAGATTTAAAAAAAAAATCCTTACAAATGTTCACATTTAACTTTACAGCTGAAATAACTTTGCAAGTATTTGACTAGTACGTGTTATCATATTTCAGAGCGTGTCGGTGACTGTAGAGCCGTCTGTTGTCAATGGGAATTTGACCGGAAGTATAACTGCTTACAAGTAAGTTAGAAATCTCCATCCTGGGTTGTACAAAAGACACCCAGATTATGAGCATCCTTGCATTACCGACTATTGCAGATAGGCTAAAGGTGCTGCAGACTGTCATTCCTCAGAGTAGCTGCAGACAGGGAACACCCTCTGTATGAAGCTTTGGCTGCAGGCAAGTGTCAGAGGCTAAAAAGGTGAAAATCGTAGATGGCTCAAGCAGAAGACACAATAAGACAAGTATGCATGCTGGAAAACATAGGGGCGAGGGGGAGTCGGTCAGAGTACCAACGGGAAAGTCTGACCTGTGTAGGGTTATGATCACATTAGGCTGGGTGTGCAGAGAGTGGCCAGCGGGTGCTACAGAGGTTGCAGTCCAACAGTTGATTCACGACAATTCCCGCCCAGGTGATCTGATTATCTATACAGATGGTTCGGTGCTGAAAGGAAAGAGAAGTGCCTGGGGGTTCGTAGAGAAAGCCAATGGAAAATCTTTAGTGCAAGACAGCCAAGCATAGGACATCACAACATCTAGCATGAGAATGGAGGTGAAGGCGGCAACTGCAGCTCTCCGGTGGCTAGAGAACAAGATGCAAACACATGTCGTAATTGTAGCAGTCTCTGAAAGCATGCTGGAAAAGGTGAAGACAGGGATGTTTCGAGCAGAGTGGCAAGCTTCACTGGAAAGGTCACAGGTAGTGAGCATACGTTGAATCTTTTCTCCAGGCCATGCCGGCGTGGTGGGTGATTAACAGAGAGACAGATTGGCTGGATCCGCACCACTGGGTAATCAACTGATGCATGACAAGGCAGATGTGGTCAAGGTCCTTTGGGAAAAAGCAACGGAATCAGTAGAGAAAAATGATTATTATGGCCGGGAGAGAATGTGTAACCAGAGAGTCTGGCTGGCTGACTACACTCAGGGGAAAGGCAAGACGGACATTTAACTAGATTGTGACAGGTACCATCAGTACTGTAATTCTGTACTGGCTGCTGAAGATGAGGACGGAGCATGCATGGGAATGCCCCGAGTGCTGTGATGTCAATTCTTGACTCAACTCAACTCAACTCTTTATTTTACACCGTCAATGACTTTTTAGATACTGTGGTGCCTCGATTTACGGACCTCGTTCGTTCCTCAATGTAATTCGTGTCTCGAAACGTTCGCACCCCCAAGCCCAATATCCCAATGCATCATACAGGAAATTTATTAATCGATTCTCAGATTTAAACATACACACCAACACACACACACACACAGAGAATACACACACAATTTAAAAAAAATTAAAATAGAAGAAAAATACACGATATCTAATTAACAATATGAATTGTTTGTCCGGAACGCCACTTCCAAGTGTACAAACTAACTACAAAAACAGAAATAGGTACACAAAAAAGCAAACATGTATGTGCAGTAAGTATGAGACGCACATACCCCTCAAAGCCTGGTAGCCGAACAGATAAATGTGAAATAGATCAACAAACGCGCGCGCAAGGCGCAGGGATTCAGAGCTCGTATCTCGAAACTAGGTTTGTATATAGAGATGCAATTGGGATATTTAAAAATTGGTATCTAGAAAAGTTCTTGTGTGAAGCGGTTCGTAAGTCGAGGTACCATTGTATTAATAATAAAAATAATAATACTATTATCCTGTAGTGTTGTTATGTATCACAAATGCCTGACTAACAGAGCAAACAACCTTCTCGAAGTTGTGGAAATATCAGATGTGTCAATGTGAAAGGTGGCCGAGGTGGTGATGGTCCATGCTACACTTCAGGGTTGCTGTCCCTAGGATTACACCAGAAGGAGGAGAATCAAACAGCGACAATTTCATAAACCCGGTTCAACCTATAGCAGTTATAATTATTGCTTCCCTGCGGTCACGAAGTAACAAGGGGTCCAAAGTGGGTGGATGGGGTGGGTTTCGTTTTAACGCATGGGCCTGCTGAGTACTTGTCCGGAAGTCACACGACCATATGGGTACAATTCTAATCTGTGTATATGGATTAGTAAGTAAAGAAAAGTAAGTAAAGATCCCTTTTCACGCCTTTAGGCGTATATGGGAAGAACGTCCCGTATTTTTACAGACCAATCGACACTGGGTGGGTAATTTGGTAAGCATTACGCCGGCCGTCTTTACTTCCACAGGACAGCCATCCTAGTACCCATTTTAGGCTGGGTCGACCTGCGACGCCCCATACCGCGATAAAAATCCACGCAGTCAGCAGTGGGTTTCGATCGCCGTATGTTGGACTTACGAGTCGGACTCGCAACGCCTAAGCCACGGACGCCGCGTATATGTAGATTGGCTTGCCATAAAAAAAAAGAGAAAATATTCGTCGATCACAAGTGACAAAGACGACAATGTCTTTCATCGGTCATGAAACTATACTTGATTGTCTGTGAGTTGAGAGGTGATTTATAAGCCCAAAATGGCCAGAAAGGATCTGAAACGACGAGGACAAGGAACATCATATGCAGGCAATGGGCCACAAATGCTTGCTGTAATAAGAAGTTCGCAGTAAGTGCATACTGTGTCATCTAATCTATGTTTCTGATTCAACTCCAGTTTTGTTGAAATGTCAAGAAAGTAAATATATCTATAATATTACCGATCATTTACATTTCATTCACGTGAGTGGTCGTCATAGGGGCTCCAGGATACTGGTTTGCCTAGGGGCCCATCATGTTGTTAAGAAGGCCCTAGTAGGGGGTGGGGGTGGGGGGGGGGGAATGACCATCCCGGCAACAGACTGCTAGAGCGGCAAGTGAGATAGGGCCAAGCCAAACACGATGGCAATTGAACAAAGACAAGAGCTAGAGTCGTCAGTTGCTATAGGCTTTGAGAGTTGGACTCTCACTGTGAAAATGGAAAGGAGGATTTAGGCTTTTGGATGGATATATTATAGACACATTTTACAAATTAGTTATTTAGAACACAAAACTAACAAACATGTCAGAGACAAAATAGACAGATTTACAGGACATTAGGAGCCTCTCTTGGCAATGGTGAAACGTCGCAAGCTAGCTTGGTTCATCACATGGTAAGACAGGATTCAATTGCAAAGACTGTACTTCAATGATCATTTGGGGGTAGTTGAAGAAGAGGAGGACAAAAAAAGAACATTGAATGACAACGTCAAGAAATGGACAGGACTAAGTTATCATATACTTTATTCGTCAACCAAAAGACACACACACCTTCATGACCCTAACGGGTGACGGGTAATATAATGTTATGTTGCAGGCTGTGGGATATGTCCGGGTGAGGAATCCCTAGCATTCTTAAACCAAGTTGGATATTGACTCAAATGCCGCTCTAACAATTAGGTGACAGCACCAATTAGATCACCGCACAATTCTGTCGTTCCCGTGCAGGAAAAAAAAAAAACTAAATAGAATGCTCATCGCATTAGCTAAACCAGTATCATACACATGCATTAAATGCGTTAGATAGCCACCAGAAGTGAAAACATAGACAGCCACAAGAAGTGCAGAGCTGATCGTCGATGTAGACAACGATTGTAACAAATCAACAGTTGCAAATGATGTTTTTTTTTTTTTTTATGTCTGGAAATAAATACAAGTGACAATGATGTGACGAATAACTGTCGTTATGTTTCTCATGTTTTTAGTTTTCACAATGCTGTCATCCATTCGGACATTGGAGAGATTGATGTGAGTATCATTTTAGTCTCTTCTTCTCCTTGCTAATTCCACCATACAGTGGAACCTCGCTTAACGGGCATAATTCGTTCCAGAAACATACTCGTTAAACAAAACGCTCGTTATGTGAAGCAATTTTTCTCATATAAATTAATGTAAAATATGATAATGCGTTCCATGTCGAAAAAAATACTCACAAAATGCTATGTATTCGTTATACTATATACATATTTCATTCAGACGAGTGATCCATCTTTATCTTTTCTTCAAACGCGGAACGGACCCACATGGAATGCGAATTCGATTTGAAAAAAAAAAAAAAAAAGTCGAAATAGTTATGATACACAGCTAATTATTTTTTTTTTACTTGAAAGATGTCCAGAGACATTTGTTTTTGTCGATGCTTCAAAATTTGGCGAAAATGCGACACAGCATTATCATTAATTTTGCAGCGCGCATAGCCACTTCTTTATTAGGGTGATGCTTCTCAATGTGAGAAGCAACAGTTTCCCATGCTTTCAGCAATTTTCCTATTTCGCCAGGAGATGGTTGCTTTTCTGTTACCTCCTCCTCCTCAGACAAATTTTCCTCCATAAACGTCTTGCTGTGAAACACAATGCAACTCCATAAGCTCTATGATGGTCAGCTCTTGGCTGTGCTCTTCCACAAGCTCTTCGATTTCACTGTTATCCACCTACAATCCCATGATAGTGGCCAAAGACACAATCTCGTTGACTACAGGTTCCACAGGTACTGTCTCGAACCCCTCAAAGTCACAAATCGACAACACTCTCCGGCCAAAGCTTCTGCCAAGAAGAAGTTAGGGTTCTCTTGGTAACCCGTTCCCCTGCCTTGTCGGTCATCTCAAGGCAAGCAACTATGTGGAAGTGATTTTTCCAAAACTCGTTGAGAGTGAGGTTGGTCCCTTCAGTCCCCTTAAAACAATGCTCGAAGAGGGCTTTAGTGTAGAGCTTCTTAAAGTTAGAAATAACTTGCGGGTTAGTCCATTGGCTGAAATAACAGAGGGGTGTTGGGGAGCAGAAACTGGATCTTGATTAACTTAAATTCATCAGAGAGGTCATCTTGTAAGCCTGGAGGATTCATGTACATATATCACAATAAAAACAAGTTTTAGAAAATGTATGATCACAAGTGACAATGCTACTGAAACGAGTGCTAAACACTAATGTAACATGCGCAAAATCCGAGACTTCCCCTCTTCTCGCCACTCGTTATGCGAAACGTCGCTCGTTAAGCGAGTCATTCTTTTACAATTTGTTTTGCTCGTTATGCGAATTACTCGTTATGAGAGGTGCTCGTTAAGCGAGATACTACTGTAATGTGTTCGCCTTCTTTCATATAATGATTCTATCATTATGTGTCCTCTTTCTTTTACCTGTTAATTCCACCATTATGTGTCCTCTTTCTTTAACCTGTTTATTCCACCATTATGTGTCCTCTTTCTTTCACCTGTTAATTCCACCATTATGTGTCCTCTTTCTTTCACCTGTTAATTCCACCATTATGTGTCCTCTTTCTTTTACATATGAATCCACTATTATGTGTCCTCTTTCTTTAACCTGTTAATTCCACCACTATGTGTCCTCTTTCTTTCACCTGTTAATTCCACCATTATGTGTCCTCTTTCTTAAACCTGTTAATTCCACCACTATGTGTCCTCTTTCTTTCACCTGTTAATTCCACCACTATGTGTCCTCTTTCTTTCACCTGTTAATTCCACCATTATGTGTCCTCTTTCTTTCACCTGTTAATTCCACCATTATGTGTCCTCTTTCTTTCACCTGTTAATTCCACCATTATGTGTCCTCTTTCTTTCACCTGTTAATTCCACCATTATGTGTCCTCTTTCTTTCACCTGTTAATTCCACCATTATGTGTCCTCTTTCTTTTACATATGAATCCACTATTATGTGTCCTCTTTCTTTAACCTGTTAATTCCACCACTATGTGTCCTCTTTCTTTCAGCTGTTAATTCCACCATTATGTGTCCTCTTTCTTAAACCTGTTAATTCCACCACTATGTGTCCTCTTTCTTTCACCTGTTAATTCCACCACTATGTGTCCTCTTTCTTTTACCTGTTAATTCCACCATTATGTGTCCTCTTTCTTTTACATATGAATCCACTATTATGTGTCCTCTTTCTTTCACCTGTTAACTCCACCATTATGTGTCCTCTTTCTTTCACCTGTTAATTCCACCATTATGTGTCCTCTTTCTTTTACCTGTTAATCCGCCACTATGTGTCCTCTTTCTTTCACCTGTTAATTCCACCACTATGTGTCCTCTTTCTTTCACCTGTTAATTCCACCACTATGTGTCCTCTTTCTTTCACCTGTTAATTCCACCACTATGTGTCCTCTTTCTTTCACCTGTTAATTCCACCACTATGTGTGCTCTTTCTATCACCTGTTAATTCCACCACTATGTGTCCTCTTTCTTTTACCTGTTAATCCGCTACTATGTGTCCTCTTTCTTTCATATATTAATTCCACCATTATTTGTCCTCTCTCTTTCATCTGTTAATTACACCATTTTTTATCCTCTTTATTTCACCTGTTAATTCCACCATTATATATTCTCTTTCTTTTACCTGTTAATTCCACCATTTTGTAACCTCTGTCTTTCACCTATTAATTCTACCATAGTGTATCCTCATTCTTTCACCTGTTAATTCTTTCATTATGTAACTTCTTTCTTTCACCTTTAATTCCACTATTAGGTGTTCTCTTTCTTTCACCTGTTAATTCTGGCAATACGTATCCTCTTTCTTTCACCTGACAATTCTACCATTATGAATCCACTTTATTTCATCTGTTAATTCCACCATTTTGTAACCTCTTTCTTTCACCTGTTAATTCCATCATTATGTATCCTCTTTCTTTCATACATTATTTCCATCATTATGTAGCCTCTTTCTTTCACCTGTTAATTCCATCCTTATGTATCCTCTTTCTTTCACCTGTAATTTCCACCAGTATGTGTCCTCTTTCTTTCATATATTGATTCCATGATTATTTATCCTCTTTCTTTTATCTGTTGATTACACCATTATATGCCCTCTTTCTTTCACCTGTTAATTCCATCATTATATATCCTCTTTCTTTCACCTGTTTCCATCATTATGTGTCCTCTTTCTTTCACCTGTTTCCATCACTATGTGTCCTCTTTCTTTCACCTGGTAATTGCACAAATGTGTGTCCTCCTTCGTTCATACATTATTTTCCCTATTACTTTTCCTCTTTATTTAAGTAGTATCCGTTACGTATTTCAATGTATTCCGTGTGAGATTTACAATTTAAACTGAGGGAGCGATCAGAAGTGATAAAATCAAAACAATATCATTAAGTAAAATGTTGGCATCGAACCAGTACTACATTACGCACAAAAACTGTAAATTAAATAGTCTGTCCTCAAAGAAAGAATACTTTAGAATGCCACACCATACAAGCATGACTGAAAAGAAGTGAGGTACACGGACCCAGAGTAAACCAAAAACAATTTGGAAAGATAACAACAGAGAAACTACAACAGTGTTAAGTGGATTCAACAGAGGCGGCCAGGGGAGCAGTAACCACAGTCTTTAAAAAGCGTGAAAATTGGAGGCAGGAGAAGAAGAATCACTTAACCTGTTTACAGTTGCCCATCGAGCATCTTCCGTTTGTAACATGTTATTCTTCAATTTAGTTTCAAGAACTTTATGTTGAAGATGACATTCTTGTTAAAATGCGAATATTTGTTTCAATATTCATGTCTACAGGAAGAAGAATTGGACAAGCTTATCCGTCGAGCCATTGATGAGGTGGTTATCCCTGGGTTAAACGGTGAGCATCAGTGCCGTATGCTAGCTTTATAAAACCATGGGTCGATAAAACAGTCTGCCAGTGAATGAATGAACCAGTCAAATCAATTGACTGATCAGTCAGATTCCATTTCCACAAGGAAGGTTGGTTGAAATTGACCTCCAATTATTCTGTCTTCTGGGCCTGAGTGCATACTCTTTGAGGCTTGGGTTCCGTCAGTCTCTTGACATTATCCCTCTCGTTTGCATCGCTGTTTTTGTAATTAAATATTCAAGCACAACTCTTATTTTTTTCTGCTGTGTTAACATTGCTGCAAGAAAGGAAATATGTGACTGTATTCAATGTCTAAACATTAATCATAATTTGCCTTCGTTGAATGTACTTCTTGAAACTGTCTGTAATACAGTTGTCCCTATTTTCATGAATCTTTCTTTCTTCGCGGCCACATGTTGGAGGGAAACAAATAGAAAAGACCAACCATTGCCTAACAATCTTGTCGTTACAGACGACTAACTCGGGTTGTGCTGATATAAGTGTAGATATGGCAGTCTGGTTGCAAACTATAAAACAGCATGCCAGCCACCCTTTGAAGGGTAAACGCAGAAGAAGAAGAACCTTTCTGCTTGTATTTCCTGACCTGTTCTGTCTTTTGCGTCAGGTTTGGAAGAGGCAACTGGGACGAGTGCTGTTATGTGCTATATAGATGCTGGTCGTCTCAAACTGTGATAGTCCGAGAAACTTTTAGTTTCTGTTGCCTGGTCCTGTTCTGCCTTTTAGCGTCAGGTTTTTCAGAGGCATCTGAGGCCAGTATTGGTAACTGGTACATAGATGTCAGTCTTCTGAGACTCCACTATTGCATCTTTCCATAGCTTGAGTGGTAGACCTCTCGTACTGCTCCTGCTGTGTCTGTTAAAGTTAAGGTCGTGAAAGTCGACTTCATAGACCAGGTTTTATCTCTTATGGCTCAGTCTTTCTCTGCAGACTGGCTAGCCGCCTGCAGAAAGGGTCCCATAGAACAAGAACTCCATAGCTCCAGCGTCGATCCCTAAGGTTATCCGTAAAAACTGCGTTCATGAACTGAAAGACGTAAAGCGAAGCAACGACCTTAAAAATGCAAGTGAAACGACTTGTCCACTTCACCAGGGAGACCACTATTGTGGTAAAGCTGTCTGTTATGTAGTATTTCCTGGTTATAATATTGACACGTGTCTGAACCATTTGGTCTGTTGTCGCTTGATAGCTTCATCACTATTCATTTCGACTGTTTTATACACATTAGTCTCTAACGTTGTCATCGTCTGTGGCTTAGGCGTTGCAAACACACTTCGTATTGCCGGGGTCGATCCCATCAGCAAGCCTTTGGCAGCAGGCCGCTATTTGTTGGTTGCGACAGTGGTTTCGAGAGACTACCGTCCATGTAGCAACGGCAAACCACTATTTTGCGTAGACAAACTCGAACAGCTTAAAAAAATTATTGTGTAGGTTTTGCATTAATCCTATAAAGCAGGCATGTCAATTTGAAGGTCCCCTGATAGGTCAAATTTTGCCATCATGAAGGCCACACGCGACAAATAACTTCTTCTTTCTTTACTTCCTCTTTTACCACTACTGGTGTCGAGGGAGATATAATGTCCTGTTCTGTGTTCTCCTGGCTGCTGATCAGTCCGTTTTTATCTCATTGTACTTGTTGTAGCGGTATTAAAACCATTGCCGGCTTCCTAGGCTTGTCGCAAGCTCACCAGATCCCCGTTGGCCAGGATTTTTCGGGGTGACGCAGGATAGCCTTCATGGCAACCGTAGCGGTAACTGACGTCATTTAATAACAATTAGTGCATGCTTTTTTTTTTAAAGCGGGCCGCAAGTGTTTGACATCCTTGCAGTAAAGACAAGGCAACCAACTCTAATGTGGTTTACTTTTGTTTTTCAATCCTCACAGAATACTGCAAACAAGGCATCCCACTACCAGTCACCGGTATCTTCCGCCTCTACAACGCAAAAGTGAACTTGCAGAAAGTAAGTTGTGATGTTGTTTACTTTCTGTGTTGTTTCTTATCTAGTACATGCAACTTTTGAGTCAAGGTATTTGTACAAACTGCTGGTTCACACTCGAATTTGATCAAATCAAAAAAAAAAAAAAAAAAAAAAAAAAAAGAACCCATTTTCCACGTAATCAGGTGTATTGGGTATTTAGTATAGACCTAAATTTTATAGAGGAATCGGAACTCGGTGGTGATGTGGTTAGCAACATGCCGGCCACCTTTACTACCCAGAACTTCAACTGGTACCTATTTTGGTTGTGTCGAGATAGGAAGCAAAATAATTTTGACGGGGAAAATCCCACTCGATTGTGGATTTGAACCCATGACCTTCGGGTCGGAGGCGAACGTCTATCCGCTACACCATCACGACTCCTACTGGACGTAGTGTGGTCATCATCACCATCATCATCACGTACTGGACGAATAAGTGTAAGCGGTCATATTTTAAATGTTGAATTCAGAATTGACATCACAGCACTCTGGACAAACCCATAACCGTTTCACCCCGACCTTCAGCAGCAATTCCGATGGTCCAAGAAACAGTCTGACTGTAAATCCGTCTCGCCTTTCTTTTGCAGATTGAGCGTCAGCTAGATCCCCAGATCACTCGGTTCTGGCAGCGACATTCTTTTCAGACCGTGGTGATCTATGTGTGCCTCTATACTGTCCACTCGTTCCAAGCGATTGCATACAAACACTAGAATCATAAATCATGTCATTGTTCTTGTCTCGCCTAATCTATATGGCTAAGCCACCCAGATATTTATTACAATGTATTCATCCCGCTCTTTCGCCAGCCGGTCTTGCCACTCATTACCAAGTTTCTGAGTCCGTCTACAGTCCGAAAGACGACATTGTCAACGTCTTATTTCACGAATCAGCTAAACGTTTTACCCTGTCTCCATAAATGTCTCCATTCTCGCTGGTACTACAAAGCGCGTGCACAGCGCTTAGTTACTTGGAACTCAGACTTTAGTTATAAGTAGAACGGAGCACCTATGGGTTACTACCCGTGCGCCATGATGTTGATGCATTGTTCAAACTTCAAAACTTCAAATCTGTCTCCATGAAATTTTCTACATTCTTGTTAGAAAGCACATCTCCGCTGCGAGTAAAGGGCTTTCAGCTAGGCTACTGATTCTCCATGCCTGACATTCATATAACAACACAGGTTCTACATTACACTTTAACACTCTTTTTCTCAACGCAGCTCACATTTTCTTGAATGTTGAATGCTTGGGACACCCCCATAAGCACTCCGTTCCAATCTTTAGCAGCAAACGAAGAGTTCCAACTGTCTGATTGTATATCTGTCTCGCTCTTTCCTTGACTGTTGAGCGTCGCCCAGATCCCCCGTTAACCTCCTCAGACGGTAATGATATATTTGCGCTTCCGCACTGTTTATTCGCTCCCAGAGGGCCATCATAATGCCTAGCTTGTCAGACATCAGTTCAACATCAAGTGGTGCAGAACCGGCCAGTCTATCTGCCTGCTAATTTCCCAGCACACCGGCACGACCTGGAGAGAATATCCAAAGGATACTAACTACCCGGGGCCTTTCGAGTGATGCTTGCCATTCTGCGCGGAGCATGCCTGTCTCCACACATTTTCTGTTGCTATTGTATGACTGTGTCCGTCGGCTCTGTGGCTAAGTAATGCCGGAATGCCGGGTTCGATCCCAGCTGCGGGCCAGGCGCCTTGCGTTGGTTTTGACAGTGGTATCAAAAAAGCCGACCGTCCAGAGGCAATGGCAAACTACTAGACATAAATTTGCCTATAAAAACCACACAACAGCTAGGGGCTGTTAAGGTTGGTTCTGCAACGTCCTGTAAAGGATACGCAACTAACCTTAAATATTACTGTGTCCTCCCTTGAATTGGTATGACTGTATCTTGTCTTGAATTTGAATGACTGTTTCCTTACTTGAGTTTGTATGACTATGTCCTTCCTGTAAGTTGTATGACTCTGTCCTTCCTTGAATTTGTATGACTTCGTCCTTTCCTGAATTTGCATGACTGTATCTTTCCTATAATTTGCATGACCGTGTCATTCCTATAAGTTGTATGACTGTGTCCTTCCTATAAGTTGTATGACTGTGTCCTTCCTATAAGTTGTATGACCGTGTCCTTCATTGAATTTGTATGACTACATACATCCTTCCGTGAATTTGTATGACTACGTCCTTCCCTTTATTTGAATGACTTTGCAATCACTGGAGAGCTGCGGTAGTGCTGTGGCTAGGATTCTGACCTAACGACTCCGTGTCCATTTTCGTACTTACCCCGCCCCCTCCCCCCTTTTCCCCATGTCCTTATTTTCTGTAATTCTGAAAAGCTTCGCAGTGTCGCATCACTTTTGTTTTAGCCGGTTCGTGAGATCTATTCATTTTCTGAGACAGATCCCGAGAACGGAAGAACGCAGTCACTAAACGGGCACGGAGATGAGAAATAAAGGGACTGAGGAATCGAGGGCGTCCAAGGGAAACAACAAGGCGAACGTTGATGAGAGATGCCAATGGTGCTGGGCTGGACTCCATCCATGATATTGCAATGATATGCCCAGGATAGAATGAAATGGGGCAGTAGACCACAGGGCCAATATGACACATAACGGCACAACATGACAATGAATGAATGAGTGAATGAGTGAATGAATAAATGAACGGACGATTGATTGAATGAATGAATGAATGAATCAATCAATCAATCAATCAATCAATTAATCAATGAATACAGAGCTGATCGTGATTTATGGAAATACACCAGGGACAATCAGTTGATGAGCGAAAACTGATGTGAATGTTATTGACATGGGGTTTTATAGAAAAATGACTAGACCACCAGGGACAGATAACAGGCGCTGTAAAGTTTTCTACACAGCAAACTGACCGCCAGCATCAGATGAGGACGATCAACAATCTTTGGTCACGTCATGTGAAGATAGATACCGGAGTACGTCGTGACAGTGGAAAGCTGGGGAGGAACAGAGGCAGAAAGACAGCAAGAGTACAAATGCCGGACAGTTTTGCATCACGGCAAAGAAAAACATCTTCACCAGGGTTGACTTCAGCTTCTCTTTAAATTTCCCGTGTCTCACATGCATATAACAACAAGATTGTTTTTTCGGATTGTGGTTAAAAGGATTCTTTTGACATGCTTGCAGAGAATTTATGGGGTGATAAAAAATTCATTTAAGAAATTTGACATTGAAAACCGTCTCTTCGGAAAATGTTTCTTCCGACATGCATCTTCAGACATGTCTCTTCGGACATGTCTATTCAAACATGTCATTTCGGATATGTCTCTTCGGACATGTCTATTCTAACATGTCATTTCGGATATGTCTCTTCGGACATGTCTATTCTAACATGTCATTTCGGATATGTCTCTTCGGACATGTCTATTCTAACATGTCATTTCGGACATGTCTCTTCGGACATGTCTCTTCGAATATGTCTCTTCGGACATGTCTCTTCGGACATGTCTCTTCGGACATGTCTCTTCGGACATGTATCTTCGGAAATGTCTTTTCGGACATGTTATGGGCTTGGAAACTTGTTACTGACTGGTAACGACACAATAGAGACAGCTACAGAAATACATAATTACCAACGACGCACGGCAGGGACTGTGACAAGAGATATTTTCTGTGCGTGAAAAGGATACTTTAACTTGTCATACTGCTACTACAGGTTTGGGCCACCATGTCTTCGCTATATAGCAGAAATACCCTCTCATCATTACTAACATTTCTGTAATTGTAGGCTGTAGCAGCCGCCCTCGCACTGTACTGCAGATTACTTCACAACCGCTAGGGCGCCCTGATCTAATTGTGTTTTAGGATTGAACGAGGTTTCTTGGATTTACTTCTACTTTATTATCATCCTTGAGGTGGTAATCGTACGAACATCAATCTTGGAGAAGTAATACACACACCAATACCACTGTTTCTGAATCCCAATGGTCTGCTCCCCCAAACCTAACCATGTTTCTGTGTACATGTTTGCCTTTCATCTGTTTCTCTATCACATCGATCAACAATCACTTCCAGTGTATGTCTTCATTATTAATTTAAAAAAAAATTATAATTACAGGGCTACATGCAAATAGCAACGGATGTAGAATATTTGAAGTGATCTACTGCCCGCTGTCCGTGAGTCAACATGTAATGTCCATTTGGGGAACCAACTAGAACAATTAAACATTCCGTTTGAACATTTGTAAAAGCTATATCTTATATTACTGTTTTATGAATTATGTTGACAATCGCATCTTCAGAAATTTCAGTTATTAACCATATTTAAAGGATTGTTAGAATCAATAAAGTAAATACGCATACCCAAGTGTTCTTATCGAATCATATGTGTTTATCTTCTGTGCAATATTGTCTATTTTTGGCTTTGTGAGCATCAATCTTTATGTGTATTGGGCAACCGTGTGTTTCAAGGGCCTACACTATTCACAGAAGTCCTTTGTATTTGTTTCGACCTCACACATTTTTTTTTAACTATTCGTCAAAAGTTAAGAGATAGATAGAAAAACCTTCATTGAAACCACAAAATGAACATGATATAAACGTAATTAGTATACGTAAAAAAAAAAAAAAATATTAAAAACCGAAACTGTCATTCACGTGGAGAAATGGAAATACATTCAAACAAAACCAAGCTGTGAAGTGTACCACCCAATTTTCGAAAGTCATACACAAATACTGGACAACTAGACTGTAATATGCTCTTCTATGGGTATGTGTTAATTTGCATTGCTTTCAGACGAACAGTGAGTTGAAACAACACAGCATGAACGAATATTGAGTTGTTTGCTTTTATTCGTTGAATCGCCAGTTATCGCATACATACATTCTCGCTCCCTCGTGCTCGTCTTGCTTGGATGAATCTAGCGACCTGGTCGGACTTCTCACACACTACAGATCATCCATCTATCCTTCACGAACCCTGGTACCTGACATTACGACGTGTGGAATAACATTCAGTCATTCTATTGAAATATAATACTCGCTTCAAAAATCATTTATTCTTCTCAGGCGTCCACTAATGCGTCCTCTCTCAGTCAGGGCCGAACTTCAACTGTCTTACTTCTGTCTCCAGGTTCACGTCTTCCGTTCACATCTCATGCTTTTCTTGTGTCCCTCACTTCGTTCACCATGAGACACACGAGACCCACTTATCCCGTTTTTCTCGTCTCTCACGATTCCTCCGACCATTTCCTCCCCATCGGGAACTCTCTGGGATTTCCCCGGGAATTCACAACATTACATAGACGATTTCAAAATCGGGTGTGACCATCGTTTACAGCCAGGCATTCAAGGCAGCGTCGATGCATCGAGTCCACAAGAGTCAGGGAGTATCCTATGGAACAGATAGCCATTCCTGAAGCATAAGTGCAGTCTCGCTGTGCAGAATGTTTTAACACATGGTGATTTGTTGAAAATCTTCGACCAAGAAAATACCAGAGATGCTCAGCCGGAGAAAGGTCAGCTGAATGAACTAACCAGGCCATCCTGATGAGCCCATGTTCCTGAATAAAGTCATTCACCACACAGGCTCGATGAGATCGATCATATTATCTTGGGGGATGACATTACCACCTCTAGCTTCCAGAGTAGAATGAACCCTTTAGTCTCAAGATTTTGTTCTGGTAGCTTGTCGCCTTTGATGATGTAAAGTGGGATTCTGCTGCGTCTGTAGAAGCCTCTTCAGACGATGACAGAACCCCTATCATAATGATCTCCCTCTCAAATTGTGTCATGAGTAAATGGCTCCCCTGGTCATCTTTAAACTCGATTTATGCAAACAGTGAATGAAACAATCAAACGAGATTCGCCAATGAACTATTTATCTCGCTTTTTCAATAAGGGTTTATGTATATCTGCATAATGTACCATCATATAGTCATAGCGAGACAGGCATCACACAGCTCGATCACTACATGCAATAATCGACTAATGCTTGACTGATGTAACGAGATGGGTGCACTAATGATTGACTGATGTAACGAGATGGGTGCACTAATGATTGACTGGTGTAACGAGATGGGTGCACAAATGCTTGACTGTTGTAACGAGATGGGTGCACTAATGATTGACTGATGTAACGAGATGGGTGCACTAAAGATTGACTGATGTAACGAGATTGGTGCGCTAATGATTGACTGATGTAACGAGATTGGTGCACTAATGATTGACTGATGTAACGAGATGTGTGCTGTCAACACTTTAAAGGCGATTAGTTTTTAGTGTGATTCTTAGTATTGATGTCCTGGGCAAGTTGAGTAGTGGGTCAAAGTTTCATACAAGAAATAAGACTTTTACAGGGTACTTATCACCTTGGGTCTGGGGCCCCGGGACTGACCAGCAGGCACTGCACAATTAAGAATTCAGTGATGCATTTTTTTAAAACATGGCTCCATGTTAAGAAGCAGAAAACTCGTATATAGGTTTGTAAGTAAAAAAAAAAAAAAACGGTAGACCATACAAAACCTATGTTATAATACCACAATTACTCATCTGAGAAGGGAGGTGGAGGAGGTCAGTGAAACTTTCCGCAAGCCTAAGAACTAGCCTCAGCTGCAAATTTTATGACTGTTGAAAGCCCACAAAGGATGCTGAGAGGAGTGGGGTAGGTATGCCCTGTGAAGAATGGCAAGCTTCATTTACGAAGGCAAACTCATTAGTGGAAAGAGCCACAGATCAGCTGCAGAACGACAAAACAATTTTTGACCGCCAAATTTCTTTTTGAGCGATTAATCAAAAATATTGAGTAGAATTATTTTGCAAAGATTAAAATATGCTATTGATAAAAGCTAAGAGATACACAGGCAGGTTTTTGGCCAAACAGATCCTGTACTGACCAAATAGCCACATTACGTGTTATATATTTTAATAGAGCAAAGCATTGAACTGAACTCACCACACTTACCTTATATTTAAGGACTATGAGAAAAGCATTTGACAGCATTGATAGGGAATCTCTCTGGAAATTGATGGAGTACTATGGAAGCACACAGAAAATTATCAATTTAGTAAAGGCAACATATAAAGACATGAAATGTCGATTTCTTCATGAGGGAAAGCTAACAGATACATTTGAAATAAAATAAGCTGTGCGACAGGGATGCCTGCTGTCGCCTTTTCTATTATTACTGGCTGTAGACTGGACTATGAAGACAATAGCTGCTAACACCAAGAATGGAATTCAGTGGACCCCTACAAAACATCTTGATGATCTGGACTTCGCTGATGATATATTGCTCTTCTGTCCCATTCACGGAATCAGATGCAAGATAAATAAAATATTCTTGATGCGAGATCACAACAGCTTAGTCTGAAAATCAATAACGGAAAGACAAAAAGAAAAAATGAGAAAAAAAAATCAGGCAAATAGAAATGTAGTTTCAATTAATAGCACTCCAGTGATGTAGTCGTACACATATTTGGACAGTAATGTATATAAAGATGGGGGAACTGATAAAGATATTAAAATAAGAATACAAGAAGCAAGAGGAGCTTTCACATTATTAAGAGATTTGTGGAGGTCAAAAGAAATTAAAACAAATACTAAAGTTAAAAATTGTAATTTTATTATTAAAATAGTACTTTGGTTTGGAACGGATACATGGAGAACAACTAAGGCAATTACTAATAAACTACAAACATTCATTAACTGGTGCCTGCGCAGAAAAGAGGGAATTAAACGGTATGATAGAATCACTAATTTAGAGCTTTGGGAGAGAACTAAACAGTCTTCAGTGGACCAAGAGGTGAAGAAAAGATGCTGACGCTAAGAAAACACACTAAGAAAACCGAAAAACAATATATATATAGAATGTCTATGCACTGGAACCCTCATGGGCATAAAAATAAATAAATAAAAAAACAAAACATAGAGAATTGAGCTAGAGAGTGGGGACATGGGGATAACTGCATTCTTTAGCAAAAGATGAAACGACTTGGCGTCAGTTGGTTTAAGGCCTAATCTCCACTGGGTGCTAGAAACGCAGAAGAAGAAGAAGGAAGAGCAGCGGATAGCTGGTTTGTCTGTTGGCCCGGTGGTCATAAGTTCAAATCCACAATCAGGCGGACTTTCAAAATTTATTTTGTCTTGAGGTAGATGTATTCTAAAAAAGGCGCGGACAATAGTTTTCTTTATCTTATCCTTAGCGCTCACTGTGGGGTTTTCCATGCACACCAGTTTTACAGATCTCGCTTAGATGCATGCTTTCATGTGGCTAGAATCACAGGACTATTCCCGCATGTGCGCTGAGTGATTCTCTGAGCATGATCAGGCAGGTCGAGGCAGGCTGGTTACGCAGACAGTGGCTTGAGTCATCGCAAAATTCTCCTGTGTGTGCAGTTACTTTCATATTCGTCCCCGGGTATGCAGGCGTTGTTGATAATGAAAGAGCTGATATACTGGCAGATGCTGCATTAATTGAAGATGGCCGGCCCATGGATCACGCAGACATTGTCATTGCCCTTAGAGAGATAGGACGTTCTGAGGGTTTTGGAAGCAACGTGTCCGCATCTCTGCTAAGAATACGCGAATTATGAGTAAAGATCGATACAGCCAAGCACGAGTAGCACACTGGACTCACACAAAGTCTTGTTAACCAACATAGGACTGGCACTATTAACCACACGACGCTGATGAATATGTTGAGAGGAGAATCTGAGCGCCTATGGATGTGTCCGGAGTGCTGTGAAGATAATCTAACTCATAACTCATAAATAACCCATAACTCAGCTTTGTCCTCATCTTTAGCAGCCTGCAATGAGTTCCAATTCCAAAGGTGCCACTAGCGGTTTGATTATATGTACTTCTTGTCTTTGTGGTGAGTTAGGAGTGCCGACCAAATCCTCTAAGCACTTCTAGCTGGAGCTTCTCTCCAGACGAAGCAAGAATAGGACAGCTGTGGTACTCGGTGGTAGCGAAAAAGCCAAAGGGGAGAAAGTGCAGAGGGAAGCCAACTCAACAGATTTCGGCCTATATGGATTAGGCATTGCGAACGCGCTTCCTAATTCCATAAAATCCTATTTGCCTCAGTAGGGCAGTAAGTTATTTGTCAACAGGCTACGTTTCTGTGACTTCAGCAATGGTATGCAGCGCCGACCATTCAC